CGGCCGCCCCAAGGGGCTGCTCCGCAGCCACGGCCGGAGGACGTCGCTCGCCCACCGCGCCGCCCCATCGCCCGCCCACCTCGCCGCCCCATCGCGCGCTCCTCCTCGGCTGGCGGTCAGTCGCTGGCTGAGTGCCGACCGCCGTCGGGCGTTGCTTCGTGGGGGGCGATCAGGGGGGGTGGGGGTGCTTAATCGATTGATGGGGGGGGTGCTTAAGGGGGGGATGAATGGGGTCTTCTTCAGGGGGAGCGCTTATGGGCCAAGATGCAGCTTTCGTGCTCCTGTTGGGCCTCATTAGGTGTACAACATGTGCAACTTTCTTCCCCCCGTTTTTCGCTGCCTAATTACGCAACGCCCGACGCCGCGAAGAAGAAGAAGATGACACATACTACTACTACTACTACTACTACTACTACTACTGCTACTACTACTACTACTACTACTACTACTACTACTACAACTACTATTACTACTACTACTACAACTACTACTACTACTACTACTACTACTACTACTACTACTACTACGACTACTACTACTACTACTACGAACTACTTACTACTTACTACTTACCACTTACGACTTACTACATACCACTTACTACTTACTACTTACTACTTACTACTACTACTGCTGCTACTACTACTACTACCACTACTAACTACTAACTGCTAACTACTACTACTACTACTACTACTACTACTACCACTACTACTACTACTACTAACTAGTAACTACTACCTACTAACTACTAACGACTAACTACTAACTACTAACTGCTACTGTTACTACTACTACTACTACTACTAATACTACTACTTCTACTTCTACTACTAACACTATTACTACTACTGCAACAACTACTTCTACTACTACCACTACTACCACTACTACTACTACTGCTACTACTACTACTACGGCTACTACTCCTACTTACTATAACTACTACGACTACTACTACTTACTACTTACTACAACTACAACTACAACAACAACAACAACAACTACTACTACTACTACTACTACTAATACTACTACTACTACGACTACTACTACGACTATTACTACTACTACTACTACGACTACTACGACTACTACACTACTACTACTACTACTACTACTACTACTACTACTACTACTACGACTACGACTACGACTACGACTACGACTACTACGACTACTACGACTACGACTACTACTACTACTACTACTACTACTACTACTACTACTACTACTACGACTACGACTACGACTACGACTACGACTACTACTACTACTACTACTACTACTACTACTACTACTACTACTACGACTACGACTACGACTACTGCTACTACGACTACTGCTACTACGACTACTACTACGACTACTACTACGACTACTACGACTACCACTACGACTACGACTACTACGACGTCTACATCCGAAATGGCAACACCAATCAGCATCGAATCTGAGTGTGCGTCGAGTCGGGCATCGGCATGGGGTCGAAATCGAATCAGGTCGGTTGCGCCAGGATGCACAACAACGCCATGCAAGCGTCGGGCCGTATCGGATCGCTGGAATGTCGACATCGAACCGGATCGATCGAAACGGACCCTGGCGTACGGTGCCCTGTCGTATCCGTTGCTTTGGGTCCCCAGTTGAGGGGGAACGATTGATGGCGGTGGAGGGGACTGGCTCAGTGTCAGTGGGGGAGACATCGAACTGGAATCGGTGATGCGTCGCCGATAGATCGGCGACAGGCCCGCGAGAGCGAAACTGCACGGTCCTTGGCAGGTCGGGCTATCGAGTCCCGATCGGCGATCAGTGGGCGACTGGGGGTCGATGCGTCCCCCTCCTGGGCCTGTCTCCCCCTACTGCTGCCCCCGACTGGGGGGGGGCAAGAGTGCCCAGAATCGAATCGATGAGTCGGATCGGCGATCGAAATGAATCGGATCGGCGGAAATCGGCAGCCGAGTCGGGAGAAGCCGAATCGGCGGAAATCGGTCTGCTAGTATGCCTCCAATTGGGAATCGGAACCCAACTCGGAATCCAAAGTCCAATCGAATCGGAACCGGAGGCCATCGAATTCGAATCGAATCGGAGGAGTCGAAATGAGCCCTGGGGGGGCCCTTCCCATGCCCAAGGGCCTCGACAAAAACTGCTCGGGCCCCCTCCGCCTCGAGGCGGAGCTGCGCCCAAGCATCCGGCGCGCGAGCGTGCTGCCTTGCGCACCCAAACCAGGCCGCCGATCTTTTCACTGCGCTGGTCTCGCGCCGTGACGGCTCGCGCGGTGGTTCCCCACACCGAGCGGATCTTCCAGCCTGGAACGATCGCGGCCTTCCGATCGAGCAGGACCCATCTTCCGATTCCGGGCCACCGGCGCCGCGCAACCTCGAACGCCCGGCGCTGGGGTCGCAGCCACAACGACACGACACGGTCCTGCCGTGAGCCTCCTGGACTGCAAGTGGTCCGGGGCTGTGACCTGCGAGACTCTCCGCAGTCCGAAGGCCCCAAAGAGAAGGCGCACCACACGGAGTTTCCTTGGGCATTCTTGGGAGGCTCCGTCGCCACCTGGAGTCGTCTTGGGGCCGTCTTGGCGGCATGCTGGACGCAATCTCGAGCCATCTTGGACTCCCGGACCATCCTGCTCCATCTTGGAGGCCACTTGCGTCATGTTGGGCCGTCTTGTAGACCTGCCAGGTCAAGGCAGGATCCATCCGACCGCCCAAGAAGCCTCCTGGGTGCTTCTCGGGGGCCTCCTGGGGCTCTCTGGCGGCGTCTTGAGGGCCCCCTCATCTCGTCTCGTCTTCTGGTCTTGTCTTCTATTGACTTCTTGGAAACCTGCCAAGCAAAGACAGAGTCCATGACAAGCCCGTCCTGTCCCCCGTGTGGACTTGAAGGAATTCGCCCGCCTGGGAAGGGGAAATCGGTCTTCATGGCACCCAAGTTCTGCGGATAAGGGGGGGGGTCTCCACCTAGAAGACCGAAGACGCCGAAGTGTAAAAAGCGTTGCTTTAACATACTTTTCAACACTCCATGACTTCCAAGATGAGGCTTTCCGCCACCACTCCTCTCCTTTTCTGGAGAGACCACCAAGACGACCAACGGTCTTCCCATGGCGCTTGTAAACGCCACCGCTCAAGGAACACTCGAGAAGTCTCCATGAGGCCTCCAAGAGAGTTGAGAAGCACTGGGTCTCCTTATGACATCGCCAAAAAGATCCCCAGGTTGTGCGAAGTGGCTGCTTCCAAGACGCCCTCCCCGAGACGGCCGAGGCGGCCCCTGAGATGCCAAGAGGGCCTAAGAACGGTCAAGAGGACCCCAGGTAACTAATCGAACCCTCCCTGGAGGCCGCCCTCCAAATTGGCTTTCAACCGATCAAGCTCCAAAGCTGCATGACGGGCTCCGGTGTAGGCGTAGTAGGGCTCCTAAAAGGGCATGGCGGGCTCCAATACCGACCGAGGGTAGTCCCAAAATGCAGGCGAGAGCCTCGTAGATCAGCAGCCCGCGCGAGAGGGGTGCCACACGAACTTCGTCATGGCCATTTACCATCTCATATCCGACTGTCACTTAGACCGCATGCACCTGGCTAGGCCAGAATAGAGCACGCAAGGCCAGACCAGACTTGATGAGAAGGAGAAACAGACGACGAGGAGCAGCAAAGTGATGAAGTGGAGGAGGAAGTGACAGGAAACAGGCGTGCGCGAGGATAATGGATACGCCGACTGAAGAGAGTTATAGGCCGACGAAGAGTACGGCAACGAGCAAAAGATTATGGTAATCATTGCGTACCCAAATAACCGCACTCTGCTTGATGACGGAATTTGAACACCCTAATCTCCGCGATCCGATTGGTTCAACTCTCGTGTCACATTTGTTGACACGAGATTTCAACCAATCGGAGCCAAACCGGAATACATAACACACGTCCGACAATGCTTAGCTAGGCCGCATGCGGCCAGGCACGCCAGGCAAAACCATTGCACATCATACCATGCGAAAAACTAATGGTACACTCGCTGGTCGCTGGCTGGGCTGGTGGGAGCACGCGAGTATCTTAGGATAATCCCTCCCTCCCCTCTTCCCTTCCCCTCACCCCTTCCTTTTCTGCAACCCTCCTCCCCTTCACGTCAGACACTCCCTGCACTCCCCCTCCTTTATCCCTTCCCTCGATTTCTCTGTCCATCTCCCTTGCTCTCCCTCATCCGTCTTCCTCCCCCTTCCCTCCCCCCTTCCCTCCCCTCCTTCCATCCTCCTCCTTGTCCTCCATCTCCTATCCCCTGCTGCATGAATCTTTCATTTTCTTCTGGGTCCACTCCTCCCCTTCCCACATCATCCATACTTCCTTCCCTTCCCTCCATCCTTCCGTTCGTCTGTACGTCCCTTCTGCACACGTCCCTCTCCTTCTCTTCCCTCCCTCCATCCGCTTCCTCTCTCCCCTCCCTCGTCTCATGCCACTAATTCTCCCTTTCCTCCGTCATGGAATTTTCGCCCCAGCGCGGGCCACACTTCTGGATCTGGCTCATTCCTCGTCGCTGACGTCCCCATTTGCTCCACTTCTCCTGCCTTCTCCTCGTCATCCTGCTCCTGCTGCTGCTTCTCCGCTTTGTTCCTCCACCACCTCCTCCTCCTCCTCCTCCTCCGCCTCCTCCTCCTCCTCCTCCTCCTCATCCTCCTCCTCCTATGTACCGCCCTCTTCTGATTGCGCAGTAAACGCTATGTCAGATCCTGCACCTGCCATTTGGGAATCAAGGTTCTCTAGGACGCCCCACTCGACGGACAAAAACATAGTATTCAACGCAATGGGAAGGGATGGGTAGTAAGGTTGGATGTCAGAGGTGACTCGAATGCACCCAGCTTGCTTCCCCCGCTCTTCCAACCTATCCCCCCTCATCCGCCTCTCCCACCTCTTCCCCTCCCTCGCTTCGTTCTTCTCGTTCTATAGCTTCGCCCTGCCACACCTCTCGGGCCCCTCCCCACCTGGCAGGCCCCCGCGTGCGCGTTCGGCTCCGCGATCAGAAGTCGAAATCGGGCTGCAGCTGCAAATCCTCGGCGGCGTGGTCCCGGACAGAAGCGCCGGCAAGCGACAAAGGGGGACGGCACGGGACCCTGGCCGCCGCACCAGGAGGCGGAGGAGCATGACGAGGCGGGCGCCGTCGAGGCGGAGGACGAAGACTTACTTGGGTGCAGGAGGAGGATTGGGGAGGCGGAGGGGGGAGGGTGAACACGATAACGAGGAGGATGAGCAGGAGCAGGAGGATGAGCAGGAGGAAGAGGCGCGAGGGAGGATGGGTGGAGGTGTGAGGGAGGAGCGATTAGAAGCGGGGGGGAGGAGCAGAGGGAGGTGTCTGGAGTGAAACAGGGGGCGAGGGAAGTGAGCCGAGGGACGAGGGCGGGGGATTTCAGAACAAGAGACCCAATAACACTTGATCTGAGAGGAGGGTCTTGCCGACTTCGGGTCCGTCTACGTCCAGCTCACGCTTAGCTGATCCACGGACCACAAGCGCAGGCCAATCTATTCCTGACACCGCACGGTGTCGGCTTCAAGGGTGCTGCGCCGACATGCGGACCCCTCCTCTTTGCATCTTCCTTCCCCTGTCCCCGACTCCGCCACCCAGTATCCCTACCCTTCCCCCCCACCCCCACCTGCTTCTGCCAACTCTTCTGGACGATCATAGTCATGGTGGGGGGCCCTGATTCGGGACACGCCCTGCCCAGGCTCACATGAATTTGCCCAGCCAGGGAGGGGCATCTTGCTCGGAGCTGGGCAGAAACGCGGCCAGCCTCTCTCGCTTCAGCAAGCCCAGCCCGCGAGTCAGGAGCCCCTCGTCGAGTAACAAATTTCCCAATGAGTCGGCGAAGCCCCCCGCCCCACGCGCAATCTGTCAATGTGTGCATAGCTGGATGGCAACGAGTGCAACAGGAGCCGCCGCCGCCGCCGCTGGTGCTGGGACTATCGCCAGGCTCCAGAGCGGCGTGACGCGCGCAGCTGGCGCGAAGATCGCCGCCCACAGAACGCGCCCGCTGAGTGGGAGCACTCTAGGCAGCACTATGGCATGATACCGATCCCCTCTTGCCCCCTGCCTCTACCCCCGATGCCCACCGATGCCCACTGTGCACTCCTCAGCTGCGCGAGCCTTGGCAACCGCCGAGCTGCTGCCCACACGCCTCGGAATCGCTGCCCAGGAGCTGCCCAGTCGCTGGCCGCCCACGAGCACGCGAAGCGTTGCCCGGGAGCGGCCCGTGGCCTGCGCGCGAGCCTGGGAGGCGCTGCGCGGGAGCCTTGCGGGCGCTTCCGGGGCTCCTCCCCGCCCCTCGCCGCTCTTCTTCCCGCTAGACTCCTCGCGCTCCTCCGCAACCGCCCTCTCCACCGCTCCTCCCTGCGCCTGCCCTCTCCTCCCCCTTCCGGCCCGCTCCTCCCCCCTCCGCCCCCTTTCCGCCCCGCCTCGCTCCTCGCACTCCTCCCGACCCTCTCCGTCTCGTGCTCTCTGCCCGGCTCCACCCAGCTCTGCTCTTCCTCGGTCCTCCGCCCGCCGCCGCACTCCTCGTGGCCCGCCTCACTCCTCCGCCCGCCTCCGCCTCGACTGGTCTGGATCGGGGCGCTGAGCGAGGGGACGGCAATCGGAAGCCTCCTAAGCTGACCAAGCGGACAAGGGCATGGCACGGGGGGGGCACGGCGTGGTAAAGAACAACGTGTGAAAAGAAAGCAGACGGGTCGTGGCCAGAGCGCCGTTGAACAAGGGAGGGCCGAAAAGACAGTGCGGCCGCGAGGGAGGCTGGACACACCAAGCTCACCGGAGGTCGTTCATGGGACCTATATCAGAGAGCGCACACGGGACCTAAATCCGAGAAAGTTGCCGCCTAGTTTGGTCGTAACCGTCCCCCGAAAACTCCCAGGAGACACGGAGCCCAACCAACCACCGACCCATTGGGAACCTTCAGGGTCAATCACCCACGCAGCCCAGCGAAACTGTCCATCTCCAATGCGGATATTTCGGCGCAATCGGTGCCGCAATAGGTGATCGTGCGCTGAGCCGTGCCATGTGTGCCGCTGGCAGCCCCGTGCTCCGTCGAAGTTTGGTCGCTCTGGACGGCTCTCCCGGACGCAACGAATACGCTCTCCTTTGGAAACACGGCCGGGGGGTCTGCGTTGACCAGATGGGCCCTGAACAAATGTGTCAAGAGGGGGGGGAACGGAAATTCAATCCTCTGGAAATCGGTCCCCAAGCCCCTCCAGCCCGGTTTTTCAACCCGCGTCCAGCCGTGTCGGCCAGGGACCTCCTCCGTGCCCCCCGTCTGCTGGCCGGAAGCAGTGCTGGGCCACCTCAGCCCCCCAGCCGGCTCCGAGCTCTCCTCCTTCTGCCGGTCGCGGGCGCGACGCCCACACCAGCACTCCGAGGGGGCCGCCCTGCGCTCACGGGCCCAATTGGAGGCCTCCCAGATGGGGTCGGAGGATCCCGCCGCATCGCCAATGCATCGCCGATGCATCCGAGACGTCGGTATTGAGAAAATCGGGCTCCACATCGAGCCACATCCCCGATGCATCCGCGATGCGGCGCGCTCCTCCGACGCCATCTGCTCTGAGCCCATCTGGGAGGCCTAGACTTCTGCCGGTCGCGGGCGCGACGCCCACACCAGCACTCCGAGGGGGCCACCCGACGCCCACGGGCCCACTGTAGCACGGGCCATGCACGCCTGCGGGCTCGACCCAGCGTTACCTCCAGGAGGGCGGCCACGCCTCCAGCGCGGCTGCCCACGAGGCTCGCGCTGGTGCTTTGGCGAGGGGGGAACATCGAGCTGGAATCGGCAATACATCGCCGATAGACCGGCGATGGGCCCCGATACTTAGCGGACCCGCACGCTCCTAGGCGGGGTGGGCTGTCAGCAGCCCGCTCTCGGCGATGAGTGTGCGACTCGAAGTCGACGCATCCCCCCCCCGAGCCTGTCCCCCGCCCTTACATGTTGCCCCCGTTGCCCCTGATTTTTCCCGTGCTCGTGCCCTTCCTCGTCCCCGTCGACACCTCTGGCCTCCTCCTTGGCGTCGTCGTCCTCGTCCTCCTCCGTCTCTGGAGCTCTCCGGGGAAACCTCTGGGAGCCATCAGAAACTTCCAGTCTCTCGACGCCCAAGCCCGGACACCCGAGGACATCATGTTTCAAAAGCGCGACCCCAGGAGATCCCGATCCCTTCCCCAAGGGTAGTTTTTTGAGGGCCCAGGTCCGTCTCAATGACGCCCCTCTGAGGGGCTCAATGACGCCCCTCAGAGACCGAAGTCGAGGGAAACACGACCGCATTGAAGAGACGCACCGTCGGAGATCCGGGAAGAGGGCCAGGCGCGCCCCACACACTGCATCGTGCGGCTCCTCGGCCTTGCTCGCGCCCTCGTGCTCGTCATCATCAGTGGATGGTGGCACCGTCGCTGCCCAACGCACGGTCCTTGCCGATCTCCTGCTCGTGAGGCTTCAGGAAGCTGTGCTCGAACCAGTGGGTGTAGTCCTCGAAGGACGAGGGGGGTGAGGGGGAGGAGGAGGAGGAGGAGAATGAGGAGGAGGGAGGAGGAGGAGGAGGAGGAGGAGGAGGAGGAGGAGGAGGGGGTGGAATGAAGGGAGGTGCGAACATGATGGACCCACGAACCCGGAAAGGGATATAGAACCGCATGCATGGAAACGTTTTCACGACACCGTATTGGGCGACGAGCACTTCCACGAGACACCCCGCGAAACATTCCACGAGACACGGGCGACCGTTTTCAACGTTTTCCTGGAAACATTCAACGAGACACCCCGCGAAACAGTCCACGAGACACCCCACGAAACATTCCACGACGACAGGCAACCACTCAACCAAGGCGGTGTGGTCGTGCTGGGGAGTGGTCGTGATGGGGTGTGGTCGTGCTGGGGGGTGGTCGTGCTGGGGGGTGGTCGTGCTGGGGGGTAGTCGTGCTGGGGGGTGGTCGTGCTCTGGAGAAGGCAAATCTCTGGGGCGCCCAGATCCCTCAAGTTCTACAAAACAAGCGATTCGCTCGAGACATCCTCGGTAATTCTGCGGAGCAAGCGTTTCGCTCGAGGCATCCTCAACACACGAAAGAGTGGCCCGCACCCTGTGATTTATCGATCGGGATTCCAAAACAAGCGTTTCGCCCGAGACATACTCAAACTTTAATCCGCCGGCCCACCTCGACCTCGATATTTATCAAGGAAAGAATCCGCCGGCCCACCTCAATTGAGGCACCGGGGACAGGTTTACCTACTCAAAGAGAACCCTGGGCCTGCGCCCGTTCCGGGAAAGCGGCGGATGAGATGAGGAGAGGGGGGGGTTGGCCGGGGCCTGCAGAGAGCCTCTGGAGGTGCCCGGGGCCCGCCAGGCCTCAGGACCTCGGCAGGGCCTCCAGGAGGCGGCTCGATCGCCGAGCCTCGGACCTCGACCTCGCCGTGCTCGATTTCGTGGCGAAGCCGAGGGCGGCAGGAGAGCCCAGAATCGAATCGACAGGTCGGGTCGGCGATCGAAATACATCGGATCGGCGGAAATCGGCAGCCTCGTCGGGAGGAGTCGAATCGGCAGAAATCGGCAGGCTAGTGGGTCTCCATTGAAGAATCGGAGCCCGCATCCGGATCCGAAATCGGATCGAATCCGAACCGGAGCCCATCAAAATCGAATCGGATCGAATCGAGGAGACCGAAATGAGCCCTGGGACGGTGTCACCAAGATTCGAGGCTCGAGGATCGGGGGCGCTGGTGGGGGCGAATAGCCCATGGGGAGAGCAATGTGTGTAGCCAAGGGTGCCGATGAGCCATGCCTTCGGCGAGGCTCCCGGGCGAATCCGCCGATCTAGCCGTGTGAGTTTGAACAAATCTCAGCTACAGCCTACAGCCCAGAGCCTGAGCTTCAGCTCTGCTGGGGGGTGGGCCGGGATGGCTCTGCCGGGGAAGGGGGGAGGGGTGGGGGGGACGAGTTGTGGTCCGCTTTCCGGCGGGCGCTTTTTCAGGCCTGCGAGGGCCCCCAGACGGGGCAAGAGGGCCCCAAGACCCCCCAAGACGGCCCCTGAAACCCCCGAATCGCCCAAACAGCGCTCCAAGACGCCGAAGATGACCTCCAGACGGCCCAAGACGCCGAGACTCTCCAAGAAGCCTCCAAGAGTCCTCAGAAGAGTACCCTTAGAGGCCAAAATCATAATTTTTACAATGGTTTTGGAAGGATTCTGGTCTTCCCGCCTTTTCGGCTTCCCGACGCTCCAAGACGGCCCCATAGGCCCCTCAGATCGCCCCAAGAGGCTCCCAAAATGGCCCCAACAAGAGAGCGCCAAGACTGCCTAAGAAACCCCCAAGACGGCCCCAGAGGCTCTCAAGACGGCTCCAAGAGGGAGCCAGACGGGGAACCCGAACTGAAATTTCGAGCCCTCGGCCTCCAGAAGCCCGATTCCCTCTCCCCTGGCGGAGGCACCCCAGGGGTGGACAGCCCTGGGCCCCCCGCCCAGGAGAGGACACGCGAGAGGACACAGGACCCTTCCGAGGGCCACCTTGCCGGCTCAGGAATGTAAGAAGGCATGGGTCACAAGGTACAGGACACCGGGGTGCAGGGTCGACCTACTATCAGGTCGGGCACGTCCTCCTACAGACGGGTTGTGGAAGAAAACCAGAAATAGCCAGACATCGTCCCCAGGCTGTTCTTTCCTGCTTTTTTGAAGATTCCTGCTGTAGAGGGACATGCCCGACTCAAACCTACTAATCAAGGCCGACTGTGTGCGCCACAACACCTCGTGGAAGCCACCTGCAAACGGAATTCCTGGGTACACGCTCTGCCCTCTCCCGCCAGGCGACCCGTCCCCCGCGGCAACCGCCGGCCCTCCCGGACGGGGCCCTCCTTCATGGACGTCTGCCGCGGGTCGTTGGTGCGGTTGAGCTCCTCGACCAACGCCCCGATGGTCGGCACCTCGCCGGCGCTTCCTGGCCTCCTCCTCCCGTGCCTCCTCGTCGTCGTCTTCGTTTTTTGTGCTAGTCTGTGCTTCCATGCCATTTGCAGTCCTGGCAGGGTTTCTGTTTACGCACGTCGTGTGTATATCATCATACTTCTCCTACTCCTCCGCCTTCCTCGTCTTCGTCTGTTCTGCTCCTCGTCCGCATCGTCCTGCTCCACTCCCTCCGCCTCGCATCATCGTTGTGCTCCTGCTGCTCCTCCCCCTGCTCTTCCTCCTCGGTCGTCCCCCTCCCCACTTGCTCATCAAGGGGATGGGAGAGGTTCGAATGAGCTTGCACGACGGACAAAGGCAGTACGAGACGGGCATGACGGACTGGACGCATGTACAGCATGTGTCCAGGAAACAAGTCCGCTCACTGAACGCACTGGCGGTGGTAACAAATCAGCTAGCGGGCTCGACGGAGGCCACAAGATTCCATTAAACTCGCCCTGCCCACGAAACAACTGCCCACGAACCGCACACCCTACGAGCGCACACGCACACGAGTACCCACGACCGTGGTTCCCAATCATGGAAGTCCATTAGAAACAAGATGTTCGGAATACCGGCTCTCCCTCGGTCTGGCGATACGCATAAGCTAAACTCAAAACTCCACCCAATATTGCTATCCGCTCACCAATCCCTTACCGTCAATGATTGCCGACTGCGGCCTTCGCTGGGTCGAACGAGTCGATCTGCTCCGGCATGATGGGTACGCACACCCGCCCCGTTTTCGGGTGCACCACGAACGGTGACTTCAGAAGGTGATTCATCTGTTTGCTGACGTTGATATCCAAGCGGGGGTATGTGTACTGGATCACGATGTCGGTGAGCATGACCTGAGCGCCGGAACGGCTGGTGGGGAAGATTCGCAGCTGTCCCTCCCTCCCTCCCTCCCTCCCTCCCTACTTAGTGGGCCCTCGAAACGGCAGGGCCGTTTTTCGTACCGTTCTCCAAAGATTGTCTATTGATCCTGAAAGCGACAAAAGGCTGGCTCACCGAAGCGATACAAAAACGGTCCACCGAAACGGACTAGCCAATCTGGGGATCTGAAGAACCTTCGGAACCCATTAGACAATTGTTTGATTCGGATTTTTGAGCTTAAAAATGGCAAGCCCCCCACCAAAATGAACGGCAACGGTAAAACAACGTGCCGGAAATGACAAAGAAAACTGCGTTGGAAACTGACAACATATGAAAACCGAAAACACTACAACAACTGCCTTGTTGTTTCCAGGGCCCACTAAGCCTTCGCGTTCCCCGCCACCATAACCCCGCCGCTCCGCTCCTCTTGGCTCTACGCGGTCAGTCAGCTGATGCCTGTTGTCTTGCCATCGTCCCCGTCCTCCCTCCTCGTGCCTCGTCCCCGCATATTCGTTCATCCTGGCATCTCCACCTTCGCTCCTCGCTCTTCGCTCCCCTCCTCCCTCCGCTGTTTCTCATCCCTCCTCTCTCCTGCCATGATCTTCCTAATCCCCCCTGCGGCCCCCACCCCTTCCCCTTCCCCTCCCCCTCCCCCCCTCCCGCTCACTTCCTCCCCTCCCCCTCCCCCTCCCCTTCTGTCATCCCCCTCCCCTTCTCCCCTCCCCTTCCCCGTCCCCCCCTCCCCCTCCCACTCCTCTCCTCCTCCACCTTTTCCTCCTCCTCCTCCTCCTCCTTTTCCTCCTTCCCGCCCCCATCGCAGTTCTGTCCTGCTCCTCCCCCTCCCCCTCCTCCTTCTTTTTACGTCAGTCTAACGTGAGGATTTAACCTGTCGCGTTCTTGCAAGTGCGAACAAGAGAAGAAGTGATACCGACTCGGGGCACTGTACCTGGCGGGCACCGCGGAAAATGAGGGAACAAAAGCCCAGGCACAGAGAAGCAACGAGAATAGGCGCCTGCCAGGTAGAGGTCGACACTCACCTTAGTGGGTAAACTCCTCCGACACCCAATAGTCAGTACCTAAGTCGTAAAGTACCACATGATTACTGGTGAATGCCGCCTCGGCAAAGTAAGGTGCCAACCGTACGTACATCTGTCCCAAGAGCCACCCGCAACCATAAGCAACATCGCCCCCCATCCACGTCGTGTACCCTGCCTCCGATACACAAGGGTAGAACGATTATTGATTCCTGTGGGTCGGGATTCGGTGGCAAGACTGAGCAATGCAGGCTGACTGTGGGTATAGCCCAAGCCCTAACATAGATGGTGCCGCGTGTGCTGGAGTGGTCTCAGGACTGGTTCGATGTAAAACAGCATGGCGTTGCGACCCTCAAAATGTAGGCTGGCGCAATGTTGGCTGGCCTGTACATCGTGCTGACTGTATGCTGAGCACTGGGTCGGGCAGAACGTGCTGCTCTACTTTGCAGTGGTGTTGAGGTTCTTCCCTCGTGGGCAATAGCTCACGTGCCCCCAAAGCTAAGAGCCAACCACTGTGCAATTCCTGGTTTGCCACCCTTAGTCAGAAAATAACTTCACCTACCTCCATCCCCAAGGCATCCACCCACACCTCCATCCACGTCGTGTGCCATGTTTGGTACGCAGGAGCAGGGCAATCATATATTCCAGAGGGACAGGAATCGGAGGCCAGATTGAAGCACATGTAGGCTGGTCATGGGTGTAGCCTTAGCCCTGGCAGAACTGTGCCGCTTGCGTTGGGGCAGTCTAAATGCAGATGTCTAAAGACACGTGGCGCTATGACGCCAAATGGCTGAGGCTGGCGCGAGGTCAACATAGGTGTTGTATGTCCTCAGCCTGTGAGTGTGCGAATGGCAGAGTAAGAGCTGGCAAGAGAAGGGCACATGGCATTGGCAAAGTGTAGCAATTCTTTGGTTGCTGCCTTGGGTTTTGGGTTTACCCCAAACCTCCTTGGTCCCAGGGCTCGTGTTTGTTGTGCACTCTTTTCGGGTTGAGCACAAGCCCTTTGTGCCAATACTAAGTAGGACTGTAGGCTGCGCAGCGTTGGCTGGCCTAGCACGCCATGCTGGGTGTAAGCTGCGTACTAAGTCTGGCACATTGTGCTGCTGTACATTAGTGGTCGTGTTGAGGCACGTCTGACAAAACCTGACATTGTGCAATTCTTGGGCTGCTACCCTTGGTCCGAGAAACCATCTGTATACATACGCTGCTTGCAATTAAGTGTCGTGTCTGTGAGGTGGCACAACGACAAGCAGGTATGCGTTAAAGAAGTGGCATCGGATGACTACCAAAGTTGGGTGGCAATGGCAAGTGTGACCCAGCATGTACTGCGGAGATCGAGCCACTGGCGAATTAGCTGGTACCCCTCGTCTCTAGGTCAGAAGGTCTTGGAGCTGAGTAGTCCTCCTCCGCCCCACCAGGCCCAACCATTCCCCAACTGCACACACAGCCCATCCCTGACCATCATGCTTACTGTATTCTGCACGCAAGGTCTGGCAACGTGTGTTGCTGTAAATTAGCAGTCCTCCTCCTCCTTCTCCTCCTCCTCCTCCCTTTCCCCTCCCCCTCCCCCTCCCCCTCCCCCTCCTCCTCCTCCTCCTCCTCCTCCTCTTCCTCCTCCTCCCATCCCCCCCCTCCTCCCGCTTCCCTCCTCCTCCTCCTCCTCCTTCCCTTCCACCTCGTCGGGCTCCTCATCCTCATCCTTCTCCTCCTCCCCCTCCTCCTCTTCCTCCGCTTCCTCCTGCGCCTCTGCCTCCGCCTCGTTCTCGCCTTGTTCTCTCCTCCGAGATAGATATTGCACCCACTGCCATCGTCCTCCCTTTGACATGTATTCAGCCACTGTTTCCTCCGGATTGGCGAAAGTCAGCCCTACCCTAAAAAGACAACTTTCTCTGAGAAGGTAGGTCGTACGGTCAGTCCCACCAGCACTTCAGGGCGCAACTGGTTTAGGGACCTCGTTCTCCCAACCCCCATCTTCCCCTTCCCCTCCTTCTCCCGGGTCTGTAGGACTGGGGGGAACGCGAAAGGTTAGAACGTCCAAGATGGCTCCAAAACGGCCTCAAATAGCCCGATATGGCCTCCAATTTCGCACACCATAGCCCAAGACGGTTCAAGATCGCCTCCAACATGCCTCCAAGCGTCCTCAATAACGCCCCAAGACGGCTCTATGTGGCCACGGAGGGTTACCAAGGACGCCAAGAAGGCCTAGTACCCAATCTTTTTTGATGGACCCGGATGAGTACGCAAGAGAGCCCCAAAGGCCTCCGAAATGACCTGGTGATGGCCAAAGTAAGCTGCCAAAGTGCTCCCATTTCGAACGATCTGAGAAATCGTTGATGACTGACTCCAGAGTCTGATAAAGCTGATTCCGGACTTCGAATTGACGGCTGCTCCCCCTCTTTCTTCCCCTGCTTGCTCCTACACTTCTTTGATCAAGGCAACTCGCCTGGGCATCGTTTCTGGATGGGTTTGTGGGGATACCTTTTTTTCGGTCGCGGGCAGACGCGTGAAGCTGTCGCCGAGTCGCCGAGAGGGGGGTCCGGGGCACGGGCCAGCCTAATTAGCTACTGAGCGACGCGCGAAACGGCCGGGCCAGCACTCAGAAGCGGCGGCTGAGGGGCTGCTGCTGGTGGAACTGGCGGGGTGGTCTGCAACGCCCAGGGAAGCTGATGCAACTTGCAGGCCTGAGGCAGAAGGATACCAAAGATGGAATTAGGTCCTGCACGCCAGGGACGCTTGACTTGTGGGGATGCGCGAAGCATCAATATCTGCTGTACGGCACTCGCCGCCACATCTTATAAAGCTTGAGCCAAAAGGCGATGGGTACCCGACCCTGCCGTTCCCCAGCCACTCCGACGTCAATCTCAAACACTTGCTCTTCTTGCTCCTGCTGCTCCTGCTCCTGCTGCTCCAGTCTCCTCCGGTTCTTCCCTCGTCGTCCTCCTCCTCCTCCTCCTCCTCCTCCTCCTCCTCCTCCTCCTCCTCCTCCTCATCTGCTGCTTCCTCCTCCTCATCCTCTTCTTCTTCTTCCTCCTCCTCCTCCTCGTCGTCCTCCTCCTCCTCCTCCCCCCCTCCCTCGTCCTCCTCGTCATCCTCCCTCCCCTCGTGGCCACAGACCCGCAGGGCTCGTGGCAGCTCCCCCCCTCCCCCACGGCGCACCCGCGCTGACGCGCGGGGGCGAGCGGAGCGCCTTGGCGTCCTGCTTCTGCTTGAAGCTCTTCGCGTCCTGCCCGGGACGGGGGGGAGTGCAGTCCTCCTCCTCCAACTCCTCCTCCTCGCGCTGTGCGGACACAGTGTTCCTCCTCCTCCTTCACTTTCGCCTCCTCATTCTCTTTGCCTCGTTCTCTTTTCCTCCGCATCTTTTCCTCCTCCTCCTCCTCCTCCTCCTCTTCCTCCTCCTCCGCCTCCTTGTCCATATCCTCCCTCCCTCCTCCCGCCTCCTCCGTCACGCCCTCCTCATAAAAGTTGGGTGGGGACGTGCTCGGGGGGGAACATCAGGCTGGAATCGGCGATACATCGCTGATAGATCGGCGATGGGGCCCCGATTACAAATTCCGCCTTTCCTTTCGCGTCGATGCATTCCCCCCTAAGCTTATGCCCGCCCCCCCAGCGTTGCCCCTGCCTCCTGCTCCTCCGCCTCCCTCCTGCCTCCTTCTCGTCCTCGTCGAACCCCTACCGCCTCCTGCTACCTCCCTCCTCCACCCCCGCCCCCCTCTTTCTAGTCGAGCCTCTCACCTCTTGCGCCCTCTCTCCTCCCTCCTCCATCTCTGTTCCTTAGATCTTGAGCTCCTCCTATGTCGCACCACCATAACCGACCACGGACAATAATACTACCCGGTGGATAATAAAGCTGGGGGGTCTGGCGGGGATAACCAAGGAGTTTCCCGGGGAAGGTGAAGTTATGACGATGATGATGATGATGCTAATGACGATGACGATGACGATGACAATGACAATGACGATGATGATGATGATGATGACGATGATGATGCTGATGATGATGATGATGATGATGATGCTGATGCTGATGCTGATGCTGATGCTGCTGATAATGATGATGATGATGACCCCCATGGCCCTGCCGCACGTTCCTGACTCGGGAACGGCTGAGAAAGTGAGAATCCCATGGCCCTGCCGCACGTTCGTAACTTGGGCAAACTGAACTGGTGCGAATCCCACAGCCCTGCGACACGCTCGTGATTGCGGAAGCTGTTGCTAGTCAACATGAGATGATGGCAACTTCGATCCTGAACGGGGATAATCCGCCGACCCTGTCGGCGTGTGTGAGGGGCTTTTCCGTTCGAGCCGTCATCTCCGTCATTCTTTGTACTCGTCGTCTCTGTCCTTCCCTTTCCCTGGGACTCCTCTTCCCCTGGGCTCCAGCCAAGCCGACCTTGAACAACCTCGTAATTGAGTCGAAGGGAAGCCCCTTCCCTTTGATCCCTCCCCCGCCGGGAGGGGGGGGGGGTAGCGACCCCCCCCCCGGGTCAGATACGACGCCCCCCCCTGGGACTCCTCTTCCCCTGGGCTCCAGCCAAGCCGACCTTGAGCAACCTCGTAATTGAGTCGAAGGGAAGCCCCTTCCCTTTGATCCCTCCCCCGCCGGGAGGGGGGGGGGGGTCGACCCCCCCCCCGGGTCAGATACGACGCCCCCCCCTGGGACTCTTCCCCTGGGACCTTGAGCAACCTCGTAATTGAGTCGAAGGGAAGCCCCTTCCCTTTGATCCCTCCCCCGCCGGGAGGGGGGGGGGGTAGCGACCCCCCCCCCGGGTCAGATACGACGCCCCCCCCTGGGACTCCTCTTCCCCTGGGCTCCAGCCAAGCCGACCTTGAGCAACCTCGTAATTGAGTCGAAGGGAAGCCCCTTCCCTTTGATCCCTCCCCCGCCGGGAGGGGGGGGGGGGTAGCGACCCCCCCCCCGGGTCAGATACGACGCCCCCCCCTGGGACTCCTCTTCCCCTGGGCTCCAGCCAAGCCGACCTTGAGCAACCTCGTAATTGAGTCGAAGGGAAGCCCCTTCCCTTTGATCCCTCCCCCGCCGGGAGGCGAGGGGGGGGTAGCGGGGGGCGGTAGCGACCCCCCCCCCAGGTCAGATACGACGCCCCCCCCCCGTACCGACCTTGAGCAACGTCGTAATTGAGTCGAAGGGAAGCCCCTTTCCTTTCCCTTCCCCGCCGGGGGAGGGAGAGGGGGTCCCGGGGGGGGTCCCGGGGGAGTCCCGGGGAAGTCCCGGGTCAGATACGACACCTCCCTCCCCCACCTTCTCGTCCTTCTCCCCGTTCCCAAAAACCATCCCACAGCCCGTGCCTCTTGCTGCGCATTGCGAACAGGGTCGGCGGCACCGGCCGTCAGGCCTTCGCAATAAACATAGAGGGGGTGAAGGGTGAAGGTGGGGATGTTTCATTATCGCCCGCAAGCGGTTACGTTTCGCTAAGGCAGAACTACCGCCTGAAACGGAAACGGCGTTTTCTATCGAAACGGAGCTCCCACCGGCAGACCCGCGGTGCGCTCGAGTTTCAGGAGGAGGGGCCGGGCGACGCGCTGTGAGCAACCTCATCCTGCAACGACTCACGAGGAGTGGGCTTGGGACGAGAGTGTGCTTGTGTGTGTGTGTTGCAGCACCGCTGATGCATCTAGGGTATGGACTGGTCCTCCTTCTCCTCCTCCTCCTCCTCCTCATCCTCCTCTCTCCTCCTCCTCTTCCTCTTTCGGCTCCTCTGGTAAATGGCCCTAGATATAATCACACAAGCCACAGCTCCACCACGAGTCAACGCCACAATGGACAGGAGCCCTAACTCCCGTCCAAGCTCCCGAAGGACAAATTGTACAGGAAATAGCATCACCCCAGATGATGCCCCTTTTCTCGGTCATCACCTCATACAGCTCATCAACCCACCCGAAATAGCGGGGTTGAAGGAAGGCCATCACGGGGTTCGACCTGGGGATCAAGCGTCGGGATGTCGGGCCGACCCCAGACTTCAGGTCACGCAAGGCACGCCTACGGCCTGAGTGGGATGCTCGGGGCACCCGCCCGAAACTCAGAATTTGGCGCCTAGCATTCTGCTCCACACTTAGAGCACCACAAATCCCTTCGGCATCTCACGATGGGACCAACGCGCGTAAGCCAACTTAGCCGGGACCCCAGGGCAACGATCTCTGATCAGGCGACCTTGGGTTCTGTATCTGCGAGAGAGCGTGATCCACCGCCGCTTTACTGTGGAAAATTGCCAACCTTTTCCTCCGGAGCCCGGGGGTCTCCCCCCCCCCTCCGAAAATCCCCCCCCCCCCCTGCTGGAACCCCTCCCCCCCCCCCTCCCTCCGGCAAAACCCCCCCCCTAACCCCTCCCCCCCCCCCCTCCCCCTCGAAAACCGGGGGGGGGGTCACTACCGGTTCGAACCCCCCCCTCGTAAGCCTATCCCTTCGTATCATTGCCTCTGCCTTTCGGGCCATCGCTCGGCTCTCTGGCGGCCATCCGGGACGATCTCGGCACCCCCTGAATGCTCTCGGCGAGGCGCAGCTGCTGGAACGTATCCCCGGGGTGGAGACCCCCACCGGGAACCGGCGACGGTGTCCGACAACCTCGAGCCTCGGATCTTCGGTCCGCCCGCTGCCCCCCAGCGTTGCTCCCGGGCTGACCCTCGCCCTCCCCAGCTCGGCCCGCACGGCGGCGGCCCTCCTGCACGCGCTGCGCCTTCAGCTTCTCCAGCTCCGCCCAGATGGCCAGGGACGTGGCCTGGCGGCGTCTCGGCGGCGCGCGCACCCAGACCGAGGCATCTGCAAGGCCGCGTGCCCTGCAAAGCTGAGCTCGGCGGCGCGCCCAGGGGGGGCGGCAGATGGGGGCAGGCCTTCTTGGTGGAAGGTTCGGCAGGCCTTCTGGGCAGCTTTCTGAGCTCTAAGCCTTGTCATAAGCTCTAAGCTCTAAGCTCCAAAGATAGGGGGGGCTTGTCATCAGGCGGGAAGGCTTCTGAGAAACCCCGCCGCCTTTTGCGAAGGCCTGAACCTTTGCCCGCGCGTTAACGGACAAAGGAGATGGGGAATGTAACGAGAGTGAGGAAGACGGTATAATATAAAGCGGGAGGGAGGTGCAGTAGCTGAAATGGTTACCCGTCTTTCGCGGGCGCACCCAAACAGCAGCTACTGCAGAGAATGCGAGAGGGAGAGAGAGAGAGAGAGAGAGGGAGAGAGAGAGAGAGAGAGAGAAAGGGAGACCTGCGGCGGCAGGAGCATCATCTAGGTTAAAGGGGGAAACAGAGGGGGGAACCGGCTCAATGGGAGAAACATCGACCTTGCTTTTTTTGTCTGTGATAGATGGGCGATGGGCTCCCGATAGCTAAATTTTGCGCTCCTGGGCGGGGGGGAGCCGTCTGGTCACTGTTGGCGACGAGTGAGCGATTGGGGGGGGTCGATGCGTTCCCCGCTGAGCCCATCCCCCCCCTTACTGTTGCCCCAGACGGGACCCGGGGGAATGAGCCCCCAAACTCCAAACGCCCTCCGCTCTCCGGGAGAAGGAGGAGGAGGAGGAGAAGGAGGATGAGGAGGAGAAGCAGGAGGAGGAGGAGGAGGAGAAGCAGGAGGAGGAGAAGGAGGAGGAGGAGGAGGAGGAGGAGGAGGAGGAGGAGAAGGAGGAGGGAGGAGGGAGGAGGAAGCCTGGGGGCTGACAGAGGTGGCCCTGCCCGCCGTTTCAGAGACGCCCCGCGAGGCCCCAGAAGTGCACACCTCGGGCCAGCGACGCCCCAGACCGGCCCCAGGGGAACGCCCGCCACCAGGTCCAGGAAGGGGGGCAGGGGGGAGCTTTTTGCCAGAGGCCGCTTCCAACAAACCTCTTGAGACGGACCCAGGACCTACAGTGGAGGCCAGTCCACAAGAAACCTTCCACAAGAAACCCAACCCTGAGACCCTAGTAGTCCATGGATGTTTGGTGTGGGAACGCCACGCACGCTGTCCGTGGCAAAACCATGGGTACCCTGGAGGCAAGCAGGGTGTCTCTCGGCACGGGCCCCCCCGCAGCACAGGCAGGGGAGGGCAGGGACAGAGCCGCACACGGCGGGGAGCCCAGCGAGGCCCGCTGCCTGAGACGAGCACTCCGGCGGCGAGGGGCGAGGCGGAGCGCCACGAGGTGGAGCCCCGCCCAGGACCCAGACCGAGGGCGGGATGCCGCGGCCGCGGAGACCCGCGGCAGCGCTGTGGGGAAGCTGCGGGTGCTCATATTCTCGGAGCGAGATGCAAGAAGGAGCCAGGACCGGGACAACATCCGCCGACTTGTCGGCTTGTGGAAGACGCCGTCGTCGTCGTCGTCGTCGTCGTCGGTCCCAACGGCATTGAGGAACAGGGGAACGGAACGCCGTAGTTAAGTCGAAGGGCACCCCTTGCCTTACTCCATTCCCTGCTGGGGGGGTGGGGGGGGCGGGCTGCCTTCAGGGTCCGCGGCACCGGCCGGAAGGCCTTCGCAATCGGACAAGGTAACTACCTACCAGACCGCCCTAACCCAACCCGAAGACCCGAATTTCGTGTTGGGGGGGTTAAGGGTTCCACGTGTTTTTTTTTCGATGTTTCCCGACCCCCCTCCACTGGAAATCGAGGGTTAATCTGGGATTTGGAAACATCGGGGAAATGGCGGTTCTGGAAGATGTGGCGGGCGCCGCGGCCTTCTCAGAGCGTTCCGGAGCGCTCTGGGAGCGTTCCACAACGGTCTGGAACGAGTTGTCCCTGTCCTAGCCCCGCCCCAACGTGACACACTGGCGGAGGTGGAGGGGGCTGATGGGAAGCGAGAAAGGGGGGGACTGGCTCAGGGGGGGGAACATCGGGCTGGAATCGGCGATGCACCGCCGATAGATCCACCGCGGATAGATCGGCGATAGGCCCCCGACAGCGAAGCCACACGCCCTTGGCGTGCCATCTCTCGGCTCTCGGCCGTTCGGACAAATTCGAGCACCCACGGAGCGCATCTCTAGGCTGGAGAACCGCCGTGAAGCGACGATACTGCTCGAAACCCTCGAACCTCGAATATCAAACCTGCCCCCTGAGCCTACCTCCCCCTCCTCACGTTGCCCCCGATGCGGGGGGGCCACTCGTCGGGAAGAGTCGAATTTACCATCGGGCTGGCAGCGATGCAGGCCACGAGCGGCCTCGCCGGCTCGGGGCTCCCCGAGGTCGTCGGAGCGAGGGTCTGCTGGTCACGGTAAACGAGCGAACGCACCGATTAGCGGTCGGGGAACAAATAATGACAGAAACATAACAGGTCCGCGCAGTGTTCTCTGATCGGCACTGGAGCCCCTGGCGCCTCTGGTGCCGCCCCTGGCGCGCGCCAGCAAAGGGGGGTCGAGCGCCGATCCAAGAAATTAGCACGGACCTCTGGACGCTGATGTCTGTTCCCCGAACAGTGCTTGCGTGTAGGGCTTTCTTATTTTTGTCGAAGGAACTGGGCCTGCGCGGCGGTGTGGTGGCTATGCGACCGCCGTCGCCGTCTCGTCGCCGCCTTGTCGCCGCCCGTCTTCTGGGCCTGCGCGCCAGTCTGGCGGCTATGTGGCCGCCGTCGCCGCCCCGTCGCCGCCCGTCGCGTGGGCCTGCGCGCCGGTGTGGCGACCACATTGCGCACCATATAGATTCTCCTTTCTAAAAAGAAAATGACCCCCCCCCCCCCCCCGGACTTATCAGCTCCCCCTGGGATAGTATAATTTAACATATATATACACACATTTTCTGCACACTCGCCCATCCTAAATATGAAATCGTACACTCCCAGGCAGGCCGGTTTCCCCCCCGTGAGGGTCCCTTGTAAATTACGCTGCCGAGGAACCCCACATACTTATATTATGGCTGGGGTGATGATAGCTGAAGTGAAGCATGTAAGAATGATGTTGGTGGTTGCCACCCCCTGCCCAATCCTCCGCCCCCCCAGGCTGAACAGCTGGGAACCCGCCGGACGAAAGGGTTCAGCAGGTACCGCATCAAGCACTGCCTCCTGCCATCGTCGTTGCCTCCTTTACTCAGCTCGTTGTACATGATGAAAAGAGTATGAGGCCACCAGTTGGCGAGTTGTCGATGGTAAGCATGGAATGCGTTTCGAACCAGAAGATCTCCTGGCGCATCCTTGTAGCCGCGCAAGCCTGCCAGATTGACCTCAAGGCCCATCCCACTCATTGCCTCCTTCAGCGCCAAACAAGGTGGTGGCAGGGCGGCGATGGCAATTTTCGGCGGCATGAGTGCCGCACACCGCAAAGGATCGCTTGCTGCTTTAAGATACGGAAGCAGGGCGCGTCTGAGTGGAAAACTATGCGCGCTGAGCCGGCTTGAGCCAATGTGTTACATATCAGGATGCTCGAGGGTCAAAGACATGTGTCCCATATGTCGATCTGTGGAGCTCCCCACCCCATGCGCCGCCCTCTGGCGTCGAGGAACTGTTACGCCTGACGCGCCCTGGAAGCCTGAAAGAGAGAGCGCCCCCAACTCCTGCCACACCCCTGCGAGCGTATCACGGATAGAGGCCGCACTGAGGGACCACCCTCTGCGCCCCCCCAACGGCGTCGAGAAAGTGCCGCGCCTGCCACGCTATGCGAGCGTGTCACGGATAGAGGCCACACTGAAGGACCACCCTCTGCGCACCCCCATGTGATGTCGAGAATGTGCCGCGCCTGCCACGCCCTGCGAGCGTGTCACGGATAGAGGCCCCGCTGAGGGACCACCCTTTGCGCCCCCCCAGCGGCGTCGAGAAAGTGCCGCGCCTGCCACGCTCTGCGAGCGTGTCACGGATAGAGGCCACACTGAGGGACCACCCTCTGCGCACCCCCATGTGATGTCGAGAATGTGCCGCGCCTGCCACGCCCTGCGAGCGTGTCACGGATAGAGGCCCCGCTGAGGGACCACCCTTTGCGCCCCCCCAGTGGTGTCGAGAAAGTGCCGCGCCTGCCACGCCCTGCGAGCGTGTCACGGATAGAGGCCCCGCTGAGGGACCACCCTCTGCGCACCCCCTCTGGTGTCGAGAAAGTGCCACTCCTGCCGCACTCTCCGACCCGCTGTGCTGTGCTCCGCCGTTCTGTGCTGTGCTGTGCTGCGGTGAGCTGTGCTGTGCCGTGCTGAGCTGTGCTGTGCTGAGCTGTGCTGAGCTGTGCGAGCTGTGCTGTGCTGTGTGTGTGTGTGTGTGTGTGGGGGGGGGGAGGGGAGGTGTGTGAGACGCGGGTGCGACGCGGCAGAGAAGAAAACCATAACCCCACGAGACATATGGGGAAAACCACTATGCGGTGACATTTTTTGTTCCAAGATAGCACTTTTTTCACGAATCCATTGCAAAAAAAAACGAAGTGCACACGCGCGCGTCGTCGCGCGCGCATGCCGAAATCAATCAAAAACCCTCGGCGCCGGAAGGATTTCGCAGTTTCCCAAAAAAAAACACATGTAAAAACACATGGTTTCGCAACACTGACTTGCTAAAAAAACTTCCGCGCGAGCTCTTGCGAAATCTTAGGACAACCGTAGGTTTTTCAAGTTTTTTTTACTAAATGCTACCAAGCGGGCTTCGCGCGCGCATGCCGAAATCTGTCGAACGCCCTTGCGCGTGTGCCGTCGCGAGACTCCTCTGCAACAAATGAAACGAAGTGCAGACGCGCGCGTGGTCGCGCGCGTCCAAAAAACCTACAAAAACCAAAGGTTTCGCACCACGGATTTTCAACAAAAGCGTGCGCGCGCGCGCTCTTGCGTCGTCGTCGTCGTCGTCGTCGCCGTCCTCCCTCCTCCCGCGTCGTTGTCGTCGTCGCCTACGTCGTCCTCTGTCTTTCCTCGTGTTCGTCGTCGTCGTCCTCTTTGGCGTCGTGGTCGTTTCCTTCGTCGTTGTCGCCGTGGTCGTCCTTCCTCCTCCTCCCTCGTCGTCGTCGTCGTCCGTCGTCGCGTCTCGTCGTCGTCCCTCCGATTTCGTCGCCGTCGTCGTCGTCGTCGTTGTCGTCGTCGTCGTCTTCCCTCCTCCCTCGTCGTTGCCGTCGTCGGCGTCGCCGTCCTTCCTCCTTCTTCGTCGTTCGCGTCGCCGTCTTCCCTCCTCCCTCGTCGTTGTCGTCGTTGTCACCGTTGTCGCAGTCGTCGTCCTCCCTCCTTCCTCGTCGTCGACTTCGTTTGCGACGTCGTCTTCGTCTTCGTCGTCGTCGGCGTCGGCGTCGTCTTCGTTTTCGTCGTCATTGTCGGCGTCGTCGTCGTCGCCGCCGTCGTCGTCGTCGTCGTCGTCGTCGTCGTCGTCGTCGTCGTCGGCGTCGTTGACGTCGTCGTCTTCGTCGTCGGCGTCGTCGTTGTCGTCGTCGTCGTCGGCGTCGTCATCGTCGTCGTCGTTGTCATCGTCGTCGTCGTCGTCGTCGGCGTCGTCGTCGTCGTCGGTGTCGTCGTCGTCGTCGTCGTTGTCGGCGTCGTCGAAGTCGTTGGAGACGTTGCCGGTGTCGTCGTTGTCGTTGTCGGCGGCGTCGTCGTCGTTGTCGCTGTCGTCGTCGGCGTCGCTGTCGCTGGCAAGTGCCATTTGGTACCCACCGTCACGGTCTTAAGAGATTTTGCGACCCAAGTTGCGGGTGGGTGGTTGGTGGGTGGGATGTTTGCGCGAGCAGTGGAGTGGTCAAGCGCGGTGCAGGGTAGTCAATTGCACAACATAGATCACCACACACAGTGTTCCACATATTGCACCACATGAGCTGCACCGAATACATTGCACCACATCTATGGCACACTATTGATTGCTCAACAGATAGTGTGCCTCAGATAATGCACCATGTATATCTGCACATATATGCCTTATGTTTATCCCTGTGTGCATACATTGCAGTACATATGTTGCACAACATATACTGCACCAAGTATGCAACACATGGGTGGCACAACGTACGCTGTGCAACATATTTGGCACCCTGTAGGTTCTCCGTCCCCAAAACAGAATGAGCTACCCCCCCCGAAGCTGGACATATTGGTACCCCTTTGGGATGCCCAGTTTACATATGATTGTGCTCCATCGTCCATCCGACCTATGAATTCGTACCATCACAACCGAGACGGCATCCCGCCCTCATCCTCTGCAACATACCATGCGCGCGCACTCATTTATCATAAATTATGAGTGTTCAAGAATCCTTTGCATCAGATGGGACGAAATGCGCGTGCGCGTGTCGTCGCGCGCGCATGCCGACATCCTTCAGAACTCGCCGGCCTCGCTAACAGTTCAAAGCCGTATGTCTCAAACCACATAAAACACACGGAATTTCAACAATAAATCCGCGCGCGCGCCCCTGCGAATTCTTGAAAAAAACCTACAAGTTTTGTAATATTTTCTAAACTTGTTATAAAACGGGCTTCGCGCGCGTGCCTTCGCGAGAACCCCTTGCAACAAACGAAACGAAGTGTACACGCGCGCATCTTCACGCGCGCGAGCCAAAATCCTTCAAACACCGTCGGTTTCGTAGCAATTTCAATACCGAGTGTCCAAACAAACGTATAAAACACATGGTTTCGCAACGTCCATTTCTCCGAAATCGTGCGCTCGTGTTCTCGCGAATTCTTGCGACAACCATCGGTTTTCAATATGTTCGCGGGATTATGCCAGACGGGCATCTGGCGCCGCATGCTAAAATCATTCGCACGCCCCTGCGCGCGTGCCGGCGGGGCACGATCCATGCCAATTAGTACCATGCGGGCCGCTCTCGCGCGCCAGCCGCGCGCGCATGTCTCTCCAAAACCTTCATCACCGACGCGAAGATGCCGTCATCGTCGTCGGCGTGATCAGCTTCGGCCCCCGCACTGGCCGCGCCGTCGTCGTTGTCAACATCGTCGCCAACATCGCTACTATCATCCTCGCGTCTACCGTTGTCGACGTTGCCACGATACCGCGACCACCCATGTCGCCGACTCGTACTGAAGTGCCCGCTGGGATGTGCCCAGCGGTCAGGGTCAGCGCCACCGCGGCCGCGTCGGTAGCGCCCAACTAGCTGGCCGGGAGACGAGAAGAGCCGCTGCTGTGCGCGCGCGCGCGCCCGCGCGCGCGGCCCTGCTGAGGGCGCCAGGGGGGGGGGGCGTGGCCCCTCAAGTGTCGGGGCGCTCGTGTCGGCATTCTCTGTCGGCCTCGGGCGTTGCCGAGCACGTCGGTCGTCTGGAGGTGCCGACGTCTTCGACTTCTGGTCGGTCCAACCTGGTCGTCGTCGGTGTCGGGGACCTCTGTTGTCTGGAGCTGGGCGGTCGTCTGGTTGCCAGCGTAGCGAGTCCATGTCGTGGCTCTTCGGATTTTCGCTGGTGGTGGTGCCAATGGGGGGTCTACGCGAGGTCCCTGCAGGGGGCGGCCTCAGGAAGACCCCAGACTGGCGGCGCCCACGAGGGGGAGGCGCGAGGGGCGTGTGCTTCTGAGAAGGCGGGGGGCTTCTCAGAACGCTTCCCAGACGCGGGGAGGAGGAGGAGGAGGAGGAGGAGGAGGAGGAGGAGGAAGTGGAAGTGGAGGAGGAGGAGGGGCCTCTATATGGAGCCCGCCGCCCTCCGAGAAGCAACCCCACTTCCTCCGAAGGCGGCCCCCCTCGCGCCACCCGCTTGCGGGCGCTGCCAACCAGAGCCCCAAACGGGGCCGAGCGCGTGTCAGAGCCTCGGTCTCGACTCGCCCCCAGGAGGAGGAGGAGGAGGAGGAGGAGGAGGGGGAGGAGGGGGAGGAGGAGGGGGAGGAGGAGGAGCAGGAGGAGGAGGGGGAGGAGGATCTGGAAGACCCCCCCCCCTCCTCCGAAGCAGGGCGCGCCAGCGCCCTGCGTGCCCCGGGCGCGTGCGGGCGCGCGGCGAGCGCGCCTCGGGGTTCTTGTTGACGAAGTCCGAGATGACGTCGCTCTCCACCTGAGCGGCGAAGAGGGCAGGACGAGAATGATGCCATGATGCGATTGGCTCGGGGGAAAGCCCAGGAGCTCCGGAGTCAATTGGCAGCCCTGCTTTCTGCAGCCCGTTTGGAGCATCAGGTCCTCTTGGGAGTCCTGCAAGTCTTGGGACCCTCCCATTACCTCGACCCCCTGCTCCTCTGAGAGATAGCGGCCTTGCGAGAGGACGCGGTGGGCGTTTGTGCGGTGGCCTCGCACGTGGCTGGCGGGGCACAGCGCGTGGGAAAGAGCTGCGCGCGACCCCGCGCGGGCAGCGTTCGCGCGAGTGTCCGCGCAGCAGGCCCAGGGACTCCCTCCCCCGATTCTGCAATCATCTTTCTACTCCATAGAGCCTGCGATACGCACAGTGCTCGCGCTCTGAACCTGAGGCGGATGGATGTGTGAGAATCGCCGATGTGTCCTTCTGCCATGTGCGATGGAGGCGCGCAACCTTCACAACGATAACGTGCGCTCTGCGAGCGCCAGAGAGCCTCAACAAGGAATGAATAAGTAGGAGTCGAAATGCGCGAACCTTCCTGCCATAGCCATTGAGCGAATCCACCCATCATATTGACCCGCCACCCCTATTTTCTCCTCCTCATCCTCCTTATCGTTCTCCTCCTCCGTCCTCCTCGTGACGAGGCAAGGGGGGGTTGACGAGAAGGGAGGAGGGGGGTGGGAAGGAGGATGGGGGAATGCGGAGATGGAGTGGCGGGGGGAGGAAGAGGATGGGAAGACGTGTCATCCAAGCGCGGTCGAGAACGTGCCAGCAGGGCTGGCGACGCAAGCGGACTCGGGCGATGGCCCGAGAAAGGAATAGAAGAGACGCGCAGGCACATCCGCGGCCGCGGAGTGCAAGCGCAAACGAGCTGTCCGCGAACCCGCGGGTGGCGATCACGCGAGCAACTATCGGTCCGCGTGCCAGAACACGGCAAGTTCGCGTCGTGTCGACCCTCGCTGGCTCTTGAAACTGCGGGAATCGTTCAAACTTGACCGATCGGCCGTGTCAGAAACGCTGGAGTGGTCAACGATGGGCCGATTCTGGGCCACGGGCGGCATTCAACCTTTAAACGCCCGCGCTGGTGTCTCCGCTGGTCGACACGACGCGAACCCACCGTACCCTGGCAGGACGAACGCCACGGCACTGGAGCAGGAATCGGGTCGTGGCGGTCACGCTCCGCCTCGCGGATGTCCGCATCGGGCTCGTCCCTCGAGGCACGAAGGTGCTTGAGCTCCTGCAGCAGCTCACGGCGCAGCGCAACGGCGGTCATCGCCTTGGCCACGCAACGTTGGCGGGAAGGCCGAGATGTCACGCATGGCCTGGGCCAGACCATCCACCTCCCAAGCCTAGTCAGGCACGTCGGCAAGCCAATTGCAACCGCCCAGAGGCTGCACATGGGTGAACGCCCAAAATGGGCATGGAGAAAATGGGTACGATGCCCAACAACAAATGCGGCGACACCGACAGCGGGTCCTGTTCAACATGGACAGGGAATGGTGTCGGTCTTTCGGTACCCATGTCGATCGTCGCGAACACGGGTGGGCACGAGAAGCTGGTCCTCCAAACAGCAATTGCCGTGCGCCCGCGCCGCCGCCGCAGCGCCCCAACCCGGCAGCCGCCACCTCTCAGGGGTGAGGACCACGGGCCTCACCCAGGCTCTGGGCCACGGAGTGGACGGCGCTCGACTCCCTGCGGCGACGCCTGCGGAAACGCCAACCCCGGTCCTGCTCCTGGGTGTCCTTGAGGTTCTCGACCAACTCGGTGAGGCGACCCGTGGCTTCCCGCGCATCCACATTTGAAGGGGCCCCAGAACACACAAATAAATACACACAAATAAAAATAATCCCCATATTTTCCTATATTTTCTGGGTTTTTGTCTTCCCCCCCAATTCCCATATTTTCCCATATTTTCTGGGGAATCGCCGATTAATTGTGTCTGTGTGTTTCTTTTCCTCCTGAACATTGCAGTAGTCGGCGTCGTCTGCGGGGCTGCTGAACCCGAGGTTGTCGCGGGGCTGCTGGCGCCAGCAATCCCCAACCCACGACCTCGGGGAAATCCGTCTGCACCTCGGCGACGGCCACCGTAGCAGGCAGGTCAAGCCGCCCCCTGCTCCTCTTCCCTCTTCGCTCCCACTCATGGGCAGGCCCCATGGCGCAATTGGCATAGACCACGGCACCGCACTAGCAACGACTTTCGAACACCCCCTGCGGCGGCTCCTCCGCAATGGAAGCGAGGAGTCGATGAGCTGGCACGAAGACGGCGGCGCCACACGGCGCGAGCTCGTCTGCGTCTGCGTTCAACGTGCTGGGCACCGCAGCCGCGGGCGCAGTGCCCAGTGCCCAGGTTCACCGCGGCGCAGCTCCTTTGGCAAGCAGTCTGGTCTCTCGTTGTGCTCGCCTCCGCGAAGCTGGACCCGCACCGGCACGCGGACTGCATGGGCGCCGTCCGTGAGCCCCCGCAGCTGCGCCTCCCAACCTCTGGCGCAATCGAGCTCGGACGGCGTGCGACCTCGGGCGACACGTTCGCGAGCGCTTCCAGCTCCTCCTCCTCGTCCTCCTCCTCCTCCTCGTCCTCGTCCTCCTCCTCCTCCTCCTCCTCCCGCGGCTTCTGCTTGTGCGCCAGCCTCTCGCTGGCCTCGCGGGCGCGCCGCTGGGCCTGCCCGCATCCCGCGTGCGGCGGCGCGGGCCTCTCGTGGGCCTCGTGCGAGAGACAGGACAAGAGAGAGAGAGAGAGAGAGAGACAGAGACAGCGACAGAGAGACGAGTGTGGGGGGCAATGCGGTGGGGGAGGAGAGGGGGCGGGGAGGAGGACTAGACGAGCGCGTTCCACTACTCGCAAATGGCCTGGATCCGCCATGGGTGATCCACGACACATTGCATCGATGCAGACACGTGTTTTGTCGGGCGTCTGCGAGTAGGCACCGCGCGAGTAGTGGAACGCGCTCGGTGGAGGATGGCGCGCTGGAGCGGCAACAAGAAGGGGCAACATGGAGCGAGGCAGGGAGGGGAGGCCGGGCCCACGGGAGGAGACGCCGGGGCACACGCCGCAGCCGCTGAATCGCCTCCACTGAGAATCCCCCGCCGCATCCCCGGGGGCCTTCGGCATCCCGTCCAGGATGTTGGAGAGGTGCGGACCCTTCCTCAGAATGTCCTTGCGAAGGAGGGAGGGGGCGAGCTAAACGTTGCTGACACCTCCACCCTCTCTGGTCAGCACGGTTCTTGCGGTCAGCTGAAGTGCCGCCCCCCGGGGCTCGCACCCTGTCTTCTGTCCGGGAGAGCCTTGATCGCGCCCCGTTCGCCTCGCCCCCCACCCGCTCTCGTGTCCCGCCCGGCCCGCCCGACGAGACCCACCCGCCCAGCCCGCCCGTCAGGGTCCGGTCGCCCGACTCCCCGACTTCGGGTCCGCGGCGGACCCAAATTCGGGGAGGCGGAACTGGTGACCGAGCCGGAACCGGTAAAAAAACGGCGACGGAACGGGCAAAAAAACGACGAAACGGAACCGGCAAAAAAACGGCCAAACGGAACCGGTGAAAAAACGGCCCTGTCGCTTCCAGGGCCCACTCAGGGTCCGCCCGCCCGACCTGCCCGTTGAGGTCCGCACGCTCGCTTGCTGGGAAGCCCGCCCGCTTTCATGCACCACCGCCCGCCCGACCCGCCCATCAAAGCCCGCCAACAAGACTCGCTTTTTGGGTCTGGCTGCAAGACCCGCCGGGTCAGGGTCCGCTTGCCAATTCGCTTGCTCTTCTCGCCTCCTTCCACCGCTGAATACTGTTCGTCCTCAATCCTCCTCCCTCCCTCCTTCTTGCCCCTATCCTTTCGTGCTTCCTCCTCATTTCCTCGCTCTCCCCCTTTCATCTATTCCCCCTCCTTTGAATAATTCCCTACCTAGGCTCTGCCCAGAAGGGTTCTTACTCTCTTAGCTTAAAGGGGCCGGGCAGTGGAAATCGCCCCGGGCGGTTCCCCCAGTCCCCGCCCCGCGGTTCCCCCCAGTCCCCTGGGAGCTTTAGCTTTAGCTTAGCTTTAGCTTAGCTGTAGCTTAGCTTTAGCGTAGCGTTTCGCTTAGCTTTTCGCTTGGCGTTTAGCTTAGCTTTAGCTTAGCTTGAGCTTAGCTGTAGCTTAGCTTTAGCTTAGCTTTAGCTTAGCTTGAGCTTAGCTTTAGCTTAGCTTTAGCTTAGCTGTTGCTCAGCTTTAGCTTAGCTTTAGCTTAGCTTTAGCTTAGCTTTAGCTTAGCTTTAGCTTAGCTTTAGCTTAGCTGTGGCTTAGCTTTAGCTTAGCTTTAGCTTAGCTTTAGCTTAGCTTTAGCTTAGCTTTAGCTTAGCGTTACTGTTACTACTAATGCTGCTTTCCTAGGGGTTCCAACTCCTAGGTAGGGTCGCACTGGGATAATTAGGGAGCCGCGCCAACTACACACTACCCCTCAAATGGGAGTACGATCAAAGACGAGAAGGATGGGTATCGAAGATTTGGTTATACATGCTGAGCGGCACGCGGGCAACGACTAGCACACGTCCTTAGAATAATTGAAGTATCAATTGTGCAGCATGTTATGGTGCACCTCCACCAGAAAGCTTGTCGGGTATTTTGCTTTTCGGCTGAAATGCCCCTCCCCCCCCAGCGCGGCGCACGCACCCTGTTCCCCAAACGGCGCTTGCACTTAGGGGCTCTTGCTTTGCTTATTAAAGTAACAAGACGGGTCCGCCCAATGATTCTCCACGCTCCAGCTCGTGAGCGTTCACGGGTGACCCGTGCCCTGGTTGGGTCGGCCGAAGTTTCGCCAGGAGGAGGAGGAGCAGGAGGACGAGAAGGATGAGAAGGATGAGGAGGAGGAGGAGGACGAGGAGGAGGAGGAGGAGGAGGAGGAGGAGGAGAAGAGAAGAGGAGCAGGAGGAGGAGCAGGAGGAGCAGGACGAGGAGGAGCAGGAGAAGGAGGAGGAGCATGAGGCTCTGTACATACAGGCTCGGACAGTCAGCCTTTCCATACAGGCTTCGACAGTCCGCCTTGGTCCGATCCGATCCGAGGAGCAGGAGGAGGAGGAGGAGGAGGAGGAGGAGGAAAAGTGCCCGTCCGTGGGCGCCCCGTGGGCGCTCGGGGTTGCCCCCGTGCCCAAGGTTGGTGTGCAGAGGCTTCGCCTGGCGCCCGTCAGTGGGCGCCTCGCGGGCGCCCCCGTGCCCTGGGTAGGTCCGCTGATGCCTCGCCAGGTGCCCACCCGTGGATGCCCCGTGGGCGCCCCGTGTCTTGGGTCGGTCCGCCGAAGTCCGACCAGCCCTCTGGGCGTAGGTGGTTTAACGAGCTTGGTCTTCTCTCTGTCCACATCCCTCCTTCCCCTCCCTGCTTGGGGGAGGGGTGTATCCCTATTCCCTCTTGATACACAATATACATGCCCTCCGCCACCCGGCTGGCGGCCAACCCAGAACCATGCCAACCCCTTATGAGGGCCCCCCTCCTTCATCCCTGTCAGAAAACAAAACAAAACGCACTGTGTCAGGAGCATGCGTCGCCAACCCGATGCGGTCCCCCACAATCCCTGAATCAGGTTCGTGAGACCCGCGGGCACTTTGTATTGTTTTTGACAAAGGCGGCGGGGGTGTCATCATGTTCCATGCTGCGCGCAGGGCTGCCATCCTTGACAAGCAACAATACAAAATACACCTCGCGGCAAAATCTGGACAGAGCGCGGCCACCCTGCGATCACTGCTAAGTGATTTTTGACAGGGGCGGCGGGCTGGACACAATGACGAACATTTGTTTTCGACAAGGATGGTGGGGGTTGACATGTTTCCTGATGTGTGCTGTCAGGTGCGCAGGCGCACCTGACGCTCTGTGCACGTGCCCCGAACGTGGCGCACCTTACGCGGCTGGAATGTGCGGCACACCTGGCGCACTCGGAGCACGTGGCGCATCTGGCGCACCAAGCGCCCCTGGCACGCGTGGCGCACCTCGTCCAAGCGTCGCGCACCTGGGATCGGTTTTGGATCCCAGTAGCTGCCCATCCAAAAACGATAGCAAAACATGCTCAGGCGCGGGTGTTACTTGTGGACGGCAGGTGGGAGTGAGCTAAACGGCTTGCGGGCGAGTGGGTGGCTTGACCCCTCCTCCTACCCCCTCCCCTGAGCCTGGGAAAGGGGGTGGCCGCGAGGAGCTGGAGTCCCGACGATGGCTCGATATGGCGCCAATAAGGCTCCAGAGGGCCCAAAGTGGCCTCCAAGATGGCCCAATATGCTTCATCATGGCTCGAAGGGGCCTCCGACATACCTCCAAAACGCCCCAAGACGGCTCCAAGACGGTTTCTGATGCCCTCCGAAGCCCCCAAGGACCCACCCAAGAAGCTAAACTTGCTCCAGAACCTAAAAAAGCATCGCTGTGCTTTGCCTTTTCGTTTTTTTCTCTTTCGACTGGCCTCGGAGGCCCCAACATGGCTCCAAGACGGCCCAAGAGAGCCCCAAGAGGAACCCAGGAGGGCTCTAAAACCGCCCAAGACCGCCCAAAAACGCCCCAAGAAAAGACCGTATGTTTAAGCCTCCCAGGAGGTGGGACCTGAATTGAGGAACCCTCCTCCTTTTGAGCTACGGGGGCCAGGGCGGACCCAAGAGACGTCCGAAACCCGCTCGGAAGGCCCAAACAGGGCCCCCAAATGGCCCCAACCGAGCCCCAAGAGGGCCCGAAGAGGGCCCCAAGAGGACCCCGAGAGACCCCCAAGATGGCCCCAAAAAACCTCCGAAAACCTTTTCACAACAACAGCTCCACGTTACCCCCAACTTTGGATGGGCCGGTGGGGATACTTTTTGGCACGCGGGCGCGCGAAGACGAATCGAACGCCGTGCAAGCTAGGGCGGGCCGCGCCGAAGCAAAAAGCAAAACCGCGATGCGAGCGGCGCCTGGCTCAGGGCGGAACAGGGCACAACGCGGCGCGGGAGGGCTGGTGGGGATATTTTTTGGTCCGCGGGCTCGCGAAGCAAGCCGAAAGCAGGGCAAAACTACGGCGGGCCGCGCTGAAGCAAAGGAAAAACAGTGATGAGGGCAGCGCCCGGCTCGGAAGCGGGCTCAGCGTAGCCAGGATGGCGCGGGAACTAGCAAACCAGCACCGAGACCGAGATCACTGGTGGGGATATTTTTTGGGCAGGCGGCTCCCATGCGACGGCCTAGGAGCGAAAGCGGCGTCCGGGTGGCGGAACGAAGCGAATTTGCGAGCAGGCCGCCAAACTGGTGGGGATATTTTTTTGATCAGCGGCCCGCAAGGAAAAAGTCCAGAGGGCGTGTCAATCGGGCTGAAGGGGCACAAATCCACATAATTTGCGAACTCAGCCGTCACTGTCGACAGCCGACCGCACGTGCGAGCATGCAGGTAATTGGCGAACTCAGCCGTCACTGTCGACTGCCGACCGCACGGCCACGGGAGCAAAAACCGGGCTGACTGAGGCTCAGAGCCAGATAATTGCGAACACAGCCGTCACTGTAGACAGCCGACCGCACAGTGTCAATCGGGCAGACTGGGGCACAGCGCCAGATAATTTCCGTGCGAGCATGCAGATAATTAGCGAACTCAGCCGTCCTGTCGACAGCCGACCGCACAAGTGAGCAGGTGGTGGGGATACGCGAAGCATCAATGATTTCGTTAGGTGCCCACCCGTGGGTGCCTCGTGGGGGGTGGGCAACGCAGCTTGTACAAAACAGCTCACCCCGCATACTTTACATTGCGCACCTTAACTGCACAACATTGTTGACATAGCTTACACACCATATCTGACACCACGCAGTTTACACGCACGTATCTCGCATCCATAATACAAGACATCCATAGTTGGCTTCAAAAATTGGGGCCTACGTGCGCTAACCGTTCTTTCCCTATGCTGGGGCCCTGGCTGTAACAACAGCGACTCCCGCCTGACAATATCTCACGCTTTCTCATGGAATCCCGCCCTCGGTTGATGCAGACTCGCAATGTTTGTAGGAAGCCAGCTCTCGCCTGAGCCTTCCTGGAAATTGTATTCTAGAATCGTGCTCTGGCTGCTCAGGAATCGTGCTCTCATTCGACTTTCGTTTGCAATGTAATGAGGAATGGCGCCCCCACCACTCAAGAATTACACTCTCGTCCAAATATTCCTCATGAATAAGAAAATTCGAGATCGCGCTCTCGCCCGACACCTCGTCAAAATTAACAGCACTACAATGTCCCGCCCGCCCGACCCAGCTTTTGGGGCCCGCCCGCCCGAACCGTCCGCACGGTCGATCGCCTGGAGACCCAGCCGCTCGCTTTTATGTCCCACCCGCTCGACCAACCTGTCAGTGTCCGCCCGCCCGACCCGCCTGTCATGCACCGCCCGCTCGCACTTGGCCCGCCCGACCCGATCGCGTAGGCCCAACGCCCGACCCGCCCGGGAAGAACGTCCGCCAAACCCGTTGCTCGAAGAACGTTTGCCGCTCGCTTTGAATATCCCGCCTGCCCCTGCTGGCCCTTTCGCGTCCGCTGGCCCGACGTGCTTGTCTTTCGGGGTTTGCCCAGGAGCTGGCATGAACAAAACAGAACCCCAAACATCATAAAAGAAGAGGGAGGTCGTCGAGGGACCGGTGTAGTGTAGGCTGAATGGCACGTGGGCAGTCTTCAAGCGAATCGACCGATGTCGGCGGCGTTCAATCTTGAACGCCCACGCCGGGGCCGCCGCTGCGTCGACACGACGCGATGAGAGGAGTCAGGAAAGTCGGGACGGGCTCGGGGCAGGAACCACGACACAGAAGGAGCGATGCTTGCACCGCAGTCAGATCGGCGCTAGGCCTCCGTTGGGGACCCCCCGCGCTCCTCGGCAGAGGGACATCACTGGATGAGATGCCGGGCCCTGCTGGGAGAGAGCCGATCGTTCTGGGGAACCGGAGGGGATCGGAATCGGAATCGGAACAGAAGCGAAGCTTCGCAACACAGTGGATGGCCTGAAAGATCTTGAGTCTTCTCAACCCCCTGGCCAGCCGATCCAAATGTTCTCGTTGAGTACTTCTTGGTGAGCTGGGCGGGGGGACGCTCGGAAGCCACAGTTGAGACATCAGCACACTTACTCACCAGACTGGAAAGCCATGCTGTGAGGAACATGTACCAATTTCCCCGTATACGTGAACTCCTCGCCCTGGGGCGGGTCTGTACACGTCTCAATTACCCATCGGTCGGAAGAAGTAGGCAGAAACATGAAGTAGGAAGGCGTTGACAAAAAGATCGGGTGTCCGCCCGCCCCCTGACGAGGGCGGAAAAGGTGACGCCACTCGACCATCGAAGTAGGAAGGCGCTTCACGTACATTGGACTCTGGCAAGCCAACAAAGACCGACGTTCGACGACGCGAGCCAACGGGTCCTGGCGGCCTCGCTGGCCGACGTCGGGCACCTCTGGCGCCTGCTCCCTTCGGAGTCTGAGGCACGGGCAGCAGTCAAAGACGGCAACAACAACAGGGGGGATGCGGGGGCAGGAGGAGGGGAAGGAGCAGGCTGACGAGGTTGAGATGGGTGCATGGCCTCCGCAGTTCTGGCCACGCCGCCCAAAGTCGTTCTCGTCAGCCTCTTCCTCACCAGGTGCCTTACTCTCATTTTCCAACGCTCGCGCTCGCTCATCTTGAGTGTATACGTAAACTTTCGGAATCCTGCGTGGATTTTCTCGGATCGGCACTGGCCTGCCCTGGCGGCGCCTCCGTGCGCCAAGGAGGGGGGAACAAAACCGATCCAAGAAATTCACGTTGAGCTCCGAACATGCTTTTATGTTTGTGCAATTGTGTTCTTCGGCCTCCAGGTCCTCACATGGCATCCGTCATCACCTCCTCCTGCCTCTCTTGGAGGTCCCGAAACGGTGCGGTGACAATCCGTGCGGTGATCGGGATCTCCAAATGAGCTCACCGCACAATCTGTCATCGCACGGGTTTGGGACCTTGGCGGCCCCAATCGCCCCCCGAGACCCGAGACATCTTCGGAAAACGACCCAAAGTCCAAAACCGTGCGGTCATCCCGAATCATCACTGGCTCAACACACGGTGTGGTCACCGCGCCGTTTGGGCTGGGCCCCCCCCCGCAACCCACATGTGCACCCTTCCTCACAGTCCTGGGAGGGGGACTTCGCAAATCAGCTCATGTGGCTGGTTTTCCTGGCACCTCCCAGCGCCGGAGGCGGCCATGCATTGAGGTACGCGTTGGGTCGCGGGGCCCAAACCAGCTGCATGAAGCAGTTCTCGTACCGTCCTTTTCCCCAAATTCCTCCGATCTCGTTCGGCCCGACCGGCGTGTCTGGCATCGCTTCCAGCGTGCTGGTGAATGGGCTTGGGGAAGGGGGTCAGGACGACGACGACGACGGTGAGGATCAGGACGACGGCAGTGGATCAGGACGAGGGTCTGGCGAATATCATGGCGAGGAATACGCCGAGGCGATGACGACGACGGTGAAGGTCGGGACGATAGTCCTGACGGCGACGAAGATAGCGACGAGGATCACGGGAGGGGGTCCTGGCCCTGCAGGATGCTGTTCTCGCCTTCCTTGAAGTACTCTAAGCAGATCCGGTGCGACTCCTCGATGGACGGGTGCAGCTGCTCGCACCTGTAGAAAAAGCGCGTTTTGTGAGGGGGGGGGGGGAGGGGTTTGGAACGGGACCTCCCCCCCTGGATGGACGGGGGGGGTTCGACCCCGCCCCTTCCCGTGACGACGGAAGGGGGGGTGGGGGGGTTCGAGCCCCCCCCCTCCCTCTCCTCTCTCCTCGGGCCTGCGCCTGCGTCGGCGGCGACTGGCGGCGGCGGCGGGGACGACGATTTCTTTTTCTGGGCCGGTGCCAGCGCTTGCGGCGGCGGGCGGCGGCGGTGGGGAGCGTCGACGAGGACGACGGTGGTGGTTGTGGTGGGTTGTGGTGGTGGTGGTGCCGGTGGTGGTGATTGTGGCGGTGGTGGTAGGTAGTGTGGTGGTTTGTTATGGTTGTGGTGGTTGTGGTTGTGGGTGGTGGTGGTGGTGGTTTGGTGGTGGTGGTGTGGTGTTGGTTTGTGGTGGTGGTGGTTGTGGCGGTGGTTTGGTGGTGGTGTGGTGGTGCGGTGGTGGTGGTAATGGTGGTAGGCCGTGGTGTTGGTGGTGGTGTTTGTGGTGTGGTGGTTTGTGGTGGTGGTGGCGGGTTGTGCTGCTGGTAGTGGTGGTGGTTGTGGCGGTGGTGGTGGTGGTGTGGTGGATTGTGGTGGTGGTGGTGGTGGTAGTAGTGGTGGTGGGTTTTTGTGGTGGTGGCGGTGATGGTGTTTTGTGTTGGTGGTGGTGTGGTTGTGGCGGTGGTGGTGGCTGTGGTGGTGGTGGTTGTGCGGTGGTTTGGTGGTGGTGGTGGTGGTGGGTTGAGGCGGTGGTGGCCGGTGGTGGTAGTGGTGGTGGTGGTGGTGGTAGTGGTGGTAATCGTCGCTGCGTCCCCACCGTCGCTGGCGCCAGCGCTGCTGGGGCCGCCGCCAGCGTTGGCGCTGGCGCCGAGGGAGGGAGGGGGGGGGGGATGAAACCCTTCCCCCCCGCCCTGGGCTGCCTTTGGTCATCGTCGCTGCGTCCCCGCCGTCGGCGCTGCTGGCGGCCGCCAGCGCCGGCGCCGGGGGGGGGGGTTTGAACGCCCCCTCCCTGGGAGGGTGAGGGGGGGGTTCGGGAGGGGGGGGTTTGGGAGGGAGGGGCCCACACCGCTTTTTTGATCGGTTTTGATCGGCGGCGCCGACTGTTGGGGCGGGGGCCCACACCCCGGTTCGAAACGCGCTGCCGAATGTTCCCAAGGCAAGCGCCCGTGAACCGCGTTCTCTCGGATCTTTCGGTGATCCTCAGAACGTCTATTAGCACAAAAGTGTGCTTGTCCGTCGGAGCCCTTCGATACGACGCAGGCGGCGTAATGATGCATCAGTGGAAAAGAACGGGGTAAACGCACAATGGGCTAACACACATCCTCAACACAATCGAATATCGCATCGCCCTTGGAACTCTCCCCTACCCCAGTCCCGCGCCAACCCCTCTGCATCAAAAAGACCCGATCGCAGAGGTCGCGCAAGAAGCGTTGGGCGTTTCCCGTGCGGCCGAGGGGCCCCAGAACGAGGGTGCAATGACTAGGATCCGGTGCATCCACTGTCCCTTTGGATATGAGAACTACCAAATGGGGTACAGACTGGGAAATCGCATTCCGCCACAAACTTCCTCGAACCAGAACTTTCACGGGTCACCCGACAGTGGCGAATTGGAGCGGAACATCATCAAGAAACTACTTCGTCCCATTGTCCAAGATCGATCCAAAACCATGGATCCAGAATCCAAAGTCGATGGCGGGTCAAATGTTCGGCATCGCTGGAAGATTCAGAATCGAGGAACGAGGATCGTTCGAAGATCGATGATCGATGGAAGATTGATTGATCATGAAGCGAAGATTCAGGGCGTGGTTACTTTCCGCAGTATGGACCCAACCTTCTTCATCGAGGGCTTGGTATTCTCCGCCTCCCCTTCCCCTTGTTGCCCCCGTTCTCCCTCCCTCACTCCCCTTCCTCACCCAACTCTTCCCATGCCGCCACGTCCTCACTCCATCCCTGTTCTCGCCCCCCTCCCCCATTCCGCCCCCTCTTCCGATGCCTCTCCGACTCCTAGCTCCAGTGCGGCCCCGGATATCCTGTATCTCCAACATTGGCCCGAAGAGAGCGCCCTGAGGCGCAGCTGCTGAAACGCATCCCGAGGCTGGGAAACCGCCGAGAACCGACGAAGACGTCTGAAAACCTCGCGCCTCTACTCAGAGACGATGCCCCTCTCTCGTCCGACCCGATCCTCGAGCGCGGGTGCAGGAAGGTATAATACATGTTTTTGCTATCGGGGACGCCTGTCCCAAGGCGGCTGGAAAATTCATGCCCCCATCTGCCACCGCAAGGGGTACACTTTCCCAGCCGCCCTGGGACCGACGTCCCCGATCGGGGGAACAACATGTAAAACCATGCTTCGCTCCACTGAACCTCTCTCGAAGACTGACAGAGCACCCTTTAGCAAAACGCCCTTTAGTGAAAGCTGTCAAGGGCACTCCACGTGCGCACGGCACCGAATTCCGAGTGGACCCCAAATGGTTTGCTGATCGACGTCCTAAAACGACAGAACGTATCCGGCGAGACGCACGATTAGTGACATCGACTGAGGGCTACGCTGGCACACACGAATGCCAATGCCGAGTGCACCGGTGCAGAGTTCGTCGGTCGACTTGTCTGGCTGGGCGCTCTCTCAGTGCTCGACCCTCGTGGCGGCGCGCAAAAGGGACTAGGGGGAGGGGGGAAGGCCTCTTCAAACGGAGGCTGCTTCTGAGAAGGCGCCGGCCCTACATCTGCAGACAAGGCCCGCGCCTTCTGAGAAGCAGGGGTGCTTCTGGAGAGGCCTCCTAGATGGGGTCCGAGTAGATGGGGTCGGAGGATCTCGCCGCATCGGCCACGTCGGCGATGCATCGGCGGCGTCGGCGTGGAGAAAATTGGGCCCCACATCGCTGATGCATCGCCGATGCATCGGCGATGCGGCGCGATCCTCCGACCCCATCTACTCCGCACGATCTAGGAGGCCTAGATTCTAAGAAGCCTTCCCCCCTCCCCCTCTGGGCGTGGCCTACCCTCGGGGCGGGGGGGGCGCCCGTTCATCTTGATGTCGGCGCGGCACCTGCCCTGGCCGCCGGCCACGAGGGTGAGGTACCTCCCGCGCCGGGCGCCGGCAACCCGCGGGCCGCCTCGGGGCCCTCGGGAGGGTGGCGCTGGCCTCCATCGCAAGAGCACAGTCAGCCCGCATGAGAAGGATGTGCGATGAGGGTGCAAGGGCCTTGGAAGGCCACGCCAACACTGTGCGAGCGGGGCGCGGCCAGCGAAAGCGGCCAAGGATGAACCGAGGGGGGAGGATGCACGGGAAACCTTGGAAAGTCGCGCATCCTTACTAGGCGGGTTGACTGTTTCGTCGGAGAAAAAGAGAGACAGAGAATGAGAGAGACTTAACCGATCCTCTTCCTCGGTCCCCCCCTTTCGGAGGGTTAACGATATTGGGAACCAGAGACCCGGACAGAGAAAGAGAGGGATATATATATATATACATATATATATATATGTGCGTGTGTATATATATATATATATATATATATATATATATATCGGTAGCCGATCCTCTTCCTAGGTCCCCCTCTGAGCGGTAACGTCATGCAGCTCAGGTGGGGGAAACATCACGCTTGAATAGGCGATAGGCCTCCGATGGTGAATCCGCACGGCCCTGGGCGGAGCAGGCTATCGGGCCCCGATCGGCGATGAAGGGGCGATTGCGGATCGATTCGCCCCTCCCGGGAACCTTTCCCCATCTATGAGCGTTGCCCCTTGCTTCCGCGCCATAATCGGCTCGCTAGCGGCCGTTCAGGACGATCTGGGCACCTCTGGAACACTCTCGGCGAGGCGCAGCCGCTGGAAGGTATCCCGAGGCTGGAGAGCCGCCGGAAACCAACGAAAATACCCGAAAACCACAGAAACATGGTACACCAGAACCCTGAACCTATCCACCCCTAACGTTGCCGTCCCCCCTCAGCCTCCCCCAACGCTGTCCCTGCCCCAAGGTTGCCCCTGAGGTCCCCCCCCAGAGTGCTCCGCAACAGCGGTCCTGCGGTCATTCGAGAGCTGCCGCGCGGCCTTGTCGCAGACCCAGCAGTGGACGCCTCGGCGCCCCGAGTAGACGAACATCATGTGATGGAAGCCGAAGTCCTCTCACGGCCGAGCGAGCGGACATCGGCCGGCGGAAGGGCGGCCGGGAGCCCGAATCTGCGAAGAGATGGGTTTTTGATCCGGGCGGTTTCCCTAGAGTTCAGCTTTCGGGCTCGTCATCGGGCCTCTGGGCATGGATCTGGGATGAAAAACTTGAAAGGGTCGGGGCCTCTGGGGCCGCGCGTTGAACAACATCATTTCGTCAGATGTCTATCGGTGGCGAGCCCGGAAAGGAAATGAGACGGGGCCTTCTCAGAAGGCTCGGAAGTCCTCTGGCCTTCTGAGAAGTGCTCTGAGCCTTCCCCGAAAACGCGGAACGCCTCGCAGAAAGCCGGAAGCTTCCTGAGCAGCCACGCCGCCTTCTGAGAAGGTCTTCTCCTCCTCGGAAGCCTCCTGAGCAGCCACGTCGCCTTCTGAGAAGGTCTTCTTCTCCTCGCTCCCCCCCTCGCTCGCCGCCGAGTCTGGGGGCGTGGCCTGGGAGCAAGCAGTGAGCATCACGTGCTTGCCGCCGACATCTGCGCGGCTGGGCGTGAGCACCGAGCGGCGTCGAGGGCAGGCGAGAACGTACAGTGGCGGCCCGTCCACAAGACACCCAACCCTGAGCCCCAGGACGTCCATGGATCTTTGGTGCGGGAACGTCGCGCTCGCCATCGCAGAGCCATCGAAACCCGAGCAACCCAGGGCACTCTGCAGGCAAGCAGGGTGTCTCTTGGAATGGACCTCCAACCTGTAGCCTGGGGCCAGGGACCACGATCTTTTTCTTTTTTCCTCTTCCCTGAGATCTCGGAGTGCCCGTGCTTTGCCCCCGTGACAGAGGAGGGCCCCCGGCGTCCCGGCGCTGGCCGACGTGAGCCGGCCACTGAAACAGATTGGAAACTTCGGGGGCGGACAGCGTTCCGCCCTGTAGGTGGACAGAGCCCGGCTCTGATCAGGTCGGGCGTGTCATCCTACATGGGTATTTTGGACGAAAACACAAAAAATGCCCAAATGGTAAAAACATCGGAAAACAAATCGTCCCTATACTATTTTTGGACTAATTTTGAATACTCCTCCTATAGAGGGACACGCCCGACTTACACCAAGGGTCTCCTGGCCGAAGCCCCGCTTCGCTCATTCGTCGATCTTGGCCTTGGTGCTCTGGTACTTTTCGTACAGCTGCGCCGCGCCCTCTTTGGCGTCCGCGGGGAGGGCGCACGCCATGCAGTTCATCGTTCTCACCGCCGACCCGCCGTTGCACAGCAGGAACGGCTTCATGAATCCTGGCATCTTCTCCTGCGCCTGCGCGTCCATCTCTTCCAGCGCCTTCTGCGCCATTTCCTTGGCCTTCGCCTTCATGGCCTCCATCGCGGACGCAGGACTTCTGGGCGGTCGGGTGCGATGAGGTCTGGCCCGAGGCCAAGGATCGTCAGGGAAATAATCGCTTGAGCCAAAATGGCTACGGAGGGGCCAGGGACCAAGATTCGGCGGCGAGCGGGGGGGGAAGTGAGAAGGAGAAAGCCTGCTCAGAAGGCGGCGGGGCTTCTCAGAAACTCTCGCGCCTTCGGGGAAGGCCCAGAAAACTCCCCAGAAGGCCGGGGGACTCCCGTGCCTTCTGCGAAGGCCCGCCCCTTCCCACTTCCCCCCAAACTCACGGCCGAAAGATACTGACCCACACGACGGGCTGACACGGGTCAGCGCTGGCTTGGGTCAGCCAGGGCGAGGAAGAAGAGAGGAGGAGGAGGCGGAAGAAGAGAAGGAGGAGGAGGAGGAGGAGGAGGATGAGGAGATGAAGGAGGAGATGGAGGAGGAGGAGGAGGAGGAGGAGGAGGAGGAGGAGGAGGAGAGGAGGAGGAGGAGGAGGAGGAGTGAGGAGGAGGAGGTGGAGGAGGAGAACGAGGAGGAGGAGGACGAGGAGGAGGGAGGAGGAGGAGGAGGAGGAGGAGGAGGAGAAGGAGGAGGAGAAGGAGGTGGAGGAGGAGGAGAAGGAGGAAAGGAGGAGGAGGAGGAGGAAGAGGAGGAGGACGGGTCGCCTAAGCTCTTCAGAGAAACCCTCCAGTCAGCCAGGGCCACGCGGCGCCACTTTGCTGGGTCCAGCGAAAGGGCATCATACGCAAATCCGCCGACCCTGTCGGCGTGAGTGGCGTGTCTGTCCGGTCCCGTCGACAGGGAGCCTTCTTTCGTCCCCTCCTGTCGGGGGATAGAGAGAGAGAGAGAACAAAAAAAAGAGAGAGAGAGAGAGAGAGCGAGAGAGAGAGCACCCTTCCTCGTTCGGAGAACGGATTCGCAACTTGAGGGAATTCTATTCACGTCCTCATTACGTCAAAAGGAAGCCCCTTACCTTTGTCCCTTCCCCGGCGGGGGGGGGTCCCGTGGGGGGGGTCAAGTTCGCATCGCCTCTGGGGGTCTTCCTCTCCCACGCCTGTCCTTCTCCGGCGCGCCTGTCCTCCTCAGGTCCTCCTCCCCAAGTGGGGAGGAGTCCCAGGGGGGGGGAGGGGAGTCAGATACGCATCCGTCCCCACCTCCCCTCCCTCTCCCACGCCGGTCCTCCTCCGGTCCTCCTCCCCAGGGGGGGGGTTCCAAGGGGGGAGTCCTTTTCCTCCTCCTTCTCCTCCTCCTCCTCCTTATTTCCTTATCTCCGCCTCCTTCTCCTCCTCCTCCCCCTCCGGTCGTCGTCGATGTCTTTCAGGGTCGGCGGCACAATCGAATCTCTAGAGCCTGCCTTCCCAGGGTGTCGGCCGGCGTATACAGGTCGTCACTTTGTTGCGGCCCTGGGGGCCTTGGAAGGCCACGTCGGCACTCTGCGAGCGGGGCGCGGCCAGCGGAAGCGGCCAAGGATGGGCCGAAGGGGAAGGATGCAAAGAGAGTCTTGGAAAGTCGCTCATCATCACTAGGTTGACTGTACAATGGTCGTGACTTCGTTACGGCCCTGGATGGACTAGCGGAGTCGCGTCATACGCAAATCGAAACCCGACCTCGCCCTCCCATGGGTGCTGCTGGGCGCGAAACTGTCGCCACTGTGCTCCGTCCCGGGAAGGTCCAGCGGAGTGGCGTCATACGCAAATCGAAACGGGACCTGCTGGCAATCGTGCTTCCTCTTCCTTCATCGCCTTCTCATCTGCCTTCTCTGTTCTTCTCGTCCTCCGCCTTTTCGTAACACTCGTCATCTTGTCCGTGCTCTGCGTCTTCATGGCGTCCACAGCAGTTCTGCCCCATCATGACATGTAGCCAATCTCTGATCCCCGAGGCGTTCAGGGCAGCAACTTGCTGTGTATGTATATATTTTTACACAGATATACACATCAGAGTGAGGGAGCCGAAAGGTCTTACACAATCCCTGGCTGCGTGTGCGAACGGGGATTATGCGGCCCTGAGTATATTTGCTGGTTGTTCTTTTTTGAACATTAGCTACTCTACAACTCTTTTTGTTGGGCCCCTTCAATCCTCCCTGATATTCTCGCCTCGGCGCCAGCTGCATTTTATTTCACATTGAGGCTTACGCTCAAACGTTTCGGGGTTGCGCCCGAACCAATTCCCTCACAACAACAACGCTCCCGCTCGATATGTCCCGCTTTTCACTCAGGGCTGTCGGGGACCTTCTGACCCGGGTCAATCCAGACCCGGGTCAGCAGGAAACCAAAAACTGCAATGCAGGAAAAAAAAACTGCAACGCAGATCTTCGCAAACCCGGGTCAGCCAATAGGCGCGGCCGCCTCGCGGCCACGAGCGGCTCCCTAACCCGGGTCAGCCAGAGGGGGTCTTCGCAGGATCCTGCAGGATCTGGCGCCCTGGCTGACCCCCGTTTGCATTGACCCCCGTCTCAAGGCTCCCGAGGCTGGTGTCCTTGCTTGCCGCCGGAGACCAACCTTCCAACAAAACCTGTGCTCCAGCTCGATACTTATCCCGCCTTTTGCTCAACAAAATGGCGTTCGTGCTCTTTTGTCCGCAAGCTGGCACCGCTAGAACAACGACTTTCCCGCTCGATATCTCATCGCATTGTGCTCGAGACCGATGATGTTGCTCGTCGCCGAAACCCGTCCCTCCAACAAAACCAGCGCTCCCGCTCGATACTTCCTCGCCCCTTACCCAAAACAGGCGTGCCCGCCTTGGGTCCGCAAACCGGCCCCCCTACAACAACGACGCTCCCGCTCGATAGCTCATCGGTTTTTACTCCAAGCTGGCGTTTTTGCTCGCAACCGAAAACCGCTCACCCAACACGATCAGTGCTCCCGCTTGACAGTCCTTCGCTTCTACAAAGGAATGGCGCTTGCGCTCGCACCTTGGCGACGCAAGCCGGCCCCCTACAACAACGACGCTCCCGCTCGAGACTACCTTACCTTTTACTGAAGAGTGGAGCCCTCATTTCGGCACCGTCACTGGAAGACATCTCGGCGGCCACAAGAGGGTTCCGAAACGGCCCCTGCAGAGGCGGCACAAAGGGTCCCGAAGAGGCGCCACTAAGCTTCCAAGGGCGCCCCAAGAGGCCCTCGGACCTCCCCAGGGAGCCCCAAGACTGCCTCAGAGGCCGCCAAGACGGCCCAAACGAGGCGCGACTGATGTGAGTTGGAACAAATGCGGCAATTGCACGCGGAAGGTGGGTCCTGGGTTACTCGGTGACCTAAACAAATGTAATATTTTCTGACTTTTCGTTGCTTCTGTCTGCTTCTGCCTTGCAGCGCGCCGAATCAAAGAACATCGTGATATTCTTCCCTCTCGTTCTGCCAAAGGACGGACACAACAATTTTACAAGTTGTTTCGCCCCTTGGCGCTGCCATGTGACAAGCAACGTGGACTCGAATCTCCCCCTTTGCAATGCGACGTGACGAATCGGCTGTAATCAATGTGTCCCGCTCCTTTTGTGCAGCCGCGTGCCGAGGACGGTGGGATGATATGTTTTCGCCCCACTGTGCGTTGCCACGCGCCGAGTAGGACTACAATGCATGATATCCGCCCCCCCCAGCGTTGCTTCGCGACGAAAAAAGTACGTACGTACTCGTTTCGTCCCTCTGCATTGCCACATGGCG